CTCTAGATCACAGTTCTCAAGGGGTGGTCTGGGGACCAGCAGCGTGTGTCACCTGGGAACTCATTAAAAATACAAATTCTTGGGCCCCATTCTAGACATACTGAATGAGAAACTCTTGGGATATGGTCCGGCATTGTTTCAACAAGTTTCCCAGGAGACTCTGTGCTCAAGTTTGAGAACCACTGCTTAGACTAACAGTATCTGTAGTCACGTCATTGTCAAAGGAATGTGGGAGGGTTACATTTTCTGAAATGGGGTCTTCTAACTTTTACACCCATATACTGTTAGTGATTTCTTGACGCTTTGATTTTGAAAGTTAAATCATCATCTGATTAAACACCCTCGTGAAGCGGCTGGGACTGGCCCCGAGGGCCGCCAGCACAGTGCTTTCTAGCACATCACGCTCCTTCAGTGCTTACACTTTGAAAATCCCTGCCTCCGCACAGGTCTTCTGTGTGATGAACTGTTTTTGCTTTATCTGCTGAGATTTTGAGTGTCTGGAGGTTACAACAAGGAGTAGGGATGGCATTATTGTTTATAGAACTTAGAAATCCACCCAATATTTAGGTAGGATGCTGAGAAACATAAGGAATTATAAAAACAGACTCCCTCTCAGCCCCTGCTGAATCTGCAAAGAAATGGCCTTGGTTAAAATAAATATTATTAAAGACTAAAGAGATTTAGGGCAAGAGACATCAGGGACAGGAGCAAATGAAATGGAGGGAGGAAGGAGAAGGAGAGAGTGGGGAAGATGCAAAGATAAACTCAGTCAAGGATGCACAAAGGGGTCTCCTATTTGGGAGGAGACACACAGAAACACGCTCATTTTGAAACAGTGACTCTGGTGGGTAACTGTCCCTCAGAATATCTGTTGAGCAGGAGCACTTTAGGTCTTTCATGGATGACAGAAATTTGCAACATAGAAGGAAATTAAGAACTTAAGTTTAATGTTTAAGTCTTGACTTCTTAACTTTGCTAGTAACAATATATTCTGTATTATCTGACTTTGTTTTTATTAATTGTATACCTTAGTTTTTTCGTTTTTAAAGGAAGTTATGAAAGTTATGTTTTTTTTTTAAAATAGTGTAAAATTAGATAATGTGATCAACATTAAAGGTTAGACTATTTCCATTAAGTTTCGAATGAACAGAATATACACTGGAGTATTGATGTTAAGCAGATGAATAAAATTTGAAAAAAATGACTTAGAGAAGTCTTTTCTTAAAATATTATGTTTGTACAAAAAACAAAAAATGTGCAATGACATAGCAATCATATTATTTTTAGCGTATGGAAGAAAATAAAAAATTTCCTATAAACATGAAGAGATAAAATGAAAAGTATATTTATATTTAAAACAGTGGATGGCACTGTCCCATTTCTGCAGGACACACTCTAATTAAGATTCTTTAAAAAGCCCTGAACAGAGACCTGAAGATTATCTTTTAGTTTTCAAAATTTCATCACATTATGCCTGTATTTTCTGAAAAAGTACTAAAATTTCTTTTGATAATAAACCAGGTCGCTGTACCAAATGATGTACATCACTTTATAACAAACATCTTAGATATTTTCTGTTCCATATCTAAGACTTTAATAATTTTCTAGATAAAAAAGTATCATGAAAATGAACCTTTGCAAAGTCCGTGGTTTCCCCTTGTTTACAGGGTGCTGTAAGCTCTTCTTGTGAAAGGCTCAGATACTAAGGTGGAACATGGCTGCCACCATGTGGGCAGCGATATTATATAGATTTCAATACCAAATAAACCTTCAATTTAAGAGAATCGCCATACTCTTTATTATGAAATGCAATGGAAACAACGAGGAATACTGTTAGATGTACTTTGAGTTACATTATTCCATAGATCTAGTAATGTGATGTTCATTTTTGGTACAAGTTAGTTGGGACACTGACAGTTTTACTAGAAAAATACCAATTACCGACAGCCTGTTCCACGGACCAGCAGGATCTGTACTAGCTGGGAGCTTGTTAGAGATGCAGTTAAGACCCCAACTTGGACACCCTGAATCTTAATCTGCATTTTAACGAGATGCCCAGGGAATACCTGTACACACTACAGGCTGAGAAGTGTTCTGCGAGAGCTCACACCTACCTCCTCGCTTCCCATCCCTTACTGTGCCCCCCCACCCAATGCTGGGGCAGTTGACTTTTATTAAAAAGACCAAATAGTTAGAAAAAATGCAGTTTGATTACTTAATTTACTTGATTAACTTGACTGAATTACTTGATTAACTTGACTTTCCCTTTGCAAATGCAGAAATCTATTTTATCTATTATTTGCTTAGGTTAAACTAATGGGTTAATTCCATCCACAATTGAGAGAAAAAATTAAAACAAATTTTCCAAAAAAAAGGGCTTGTTTAGTTTCAGGAGAGATTAGAGTATTTTATTTTGCCCAATCAGAGCCCTTCAGCATAAAGAGACATTCATATACATATATATGAACATTTTCCAGAAACATTAATTTATAATACATTTTTTAAAATACCAGGTTAATGGTATTTATTTACAAAAATATTACCTAATTTTAAACCTTTTGCTGTGATGACAGTTTGTAAAGTACAGGAATGCAAAATAACTACAAAGTTTAACACATTTTTAGTGTTTGCAATAGTGCTTTTTTGATTTTTGTTTTAAATGAAACAGTACACAGTTTTTTTTTTTATCGTATGTAAAATGCATATTCCAGCATTTACCTTTGAGATGGTTACTGGACTGAGCAAGATATATATAAAAAAAATAAAGTGCAGCAACTGAACACTACCTGCATGTACAGTTTAAGGTATACACAAGCTAGAGCTCTATACCAAGCATGCTTGCCCCTGAATGTTAGAAAAACTTAATCTTGCTCCTTTTAATATTGTTTTTGGTGATGCATTTACAATGAACCGAGAGTATAACTAGAAAGCAAAATGTTCTTCTGGTTCTAACTACCATGTTAAGCAGAGGTCACACCTAAATTATCACTGTACCATTTATTTACAAAAGAAAGTAATTAAAAATTCATAACACGATTTATTCCCTTTGCACTGCTTCCTATTGATATGAGTCTGTTGTCAAATCTTTACATTGTCTTCAGTTGAAGCAAGGTTTCAATAACACCAAACACATAGCAAAAGTATTAAAAAAAACCCCCAAAACTCCCAAATAGGATTCCATTGCCATTAGCCTATATCCATTTTAAATGCCTGAGCCAAATAACCTACAATAAATTAATACTGATTTATTTACATCTCATACACTATAAAACTTTATAAGTCTCATGGTGAAATACTGGCCAAACTGACATTCACGATTATTCTGATGTAAAGAGTGTAATAAAAAGAGCAATTACGTGTATCCCTGGACTGGACTCGAGTTGTAAATGAATTGTGCCTAATAATTTAAGACTGTATTAGTAACTGAAGAAAGCAATGTTATAACCCTGATAATTGGGAAGTTATTAAAACCATTTAATTCAGCTGAGAAAAGTAAGCTAAAGTTTTCCCTTTAATTTTCGCTGTTACAACTATTTCCTGTCCCCGGAATCTTTAAAACTTCGGTGGCAGTAGAAAGATCATTAATACCCACAGGAAAAATAATCCCCATAGCACTTTACAAGAAATTGATCAGAGTGATGAAAAGTATAATTAACAAAAGCTGTAAACAGTATCTTCACATTCATTTTCAAATAAAAAAAAAATTTATGGGCATAAATTTCAATCCAAGAGAACAAATATCCAAGGGAAAAGAAAAAAAGGACACAAGAGAGAGGAGTGGTCTTTTCAAACTAAATACAGATTAAAAAGTCTAAGAATATTGATCAAGTATCAAACTGATAAGGAACAAATTCTATAAACTATAAAATAAAAACCTTCATTGACAAAAATACATAAACTCTGTATTTCATTTCTGGAAATTTATTTTTAAAAAAGTTAGAAGAAAATACCTCGGAAACTATTTTAAATATATATATATATATTTTAAAACAATAGTTAAGGTAGGCATCCAACAGCAAGCTGCAGCTATTGAGAAAGATCTTGCAATTATCATTGTGGGCATTTTCCCCAAAATAAAATTAATATTTGAAAATGCTCAATAGAAGGTTTTTAAAACCATAGTAATGATATCTTGCTTGTCATGTGTGAAGGCTTTTGAATGATGTATGATTCTTCAAGATTAATTGTATCTCGATATGAGATACCAGTATTTCTTATTATAAGCGTAAAACATAATTTTTGTATGGATAATATACATACTTTTTAAGTACTTTGACTTAAACTTAACAAGTTCACCACTTTTGAAATTAAAGAGTACATTTATAAAAATTCCATTTTAAAACTAAAAGTATATTCTCTAGCAGTATGTATAAATATAACATGTTAGTGTATGACTGTAAAACAAATCTGAAAGTGTTGCAATAATTTAAGACCTAGAACACTGAAGCACACGGCAAATGATTTTACTATATTTTATCCTTGAAAACTATATAAAACCCTAGTAAAGGTTTTAAAACTATGATCAGTTTAATATTTAAGGTGCAGCTAGCTAGCAGCATATTCATGATTTTGGTATGTTTTATACATATGTATCACTTGATTTGAACTGAGAAATGTGGATTAAATGATAATAAAAAGTTTTCATTCCCTAAAAAAGTGCAGAAAAAATTCAAGTTTAAAGTTCAGTGCTCTTTATTTTGAAAAACAAATAAACAAAATCCCAAAAGTTAAAATGTAAAATAAATCTTTGCCACAAAAAAATTTACCTTTGGATATAGCTTTTCTAATGTCACATGAGAAAATGCCTTAAGCAAAATGTATATGGAATATAGAACTCAGGGTAAAACTTTGAACTCCGTGGTGTCTTCCACATTTTTTCCCTTTACTCAGCTGTCTCCCTACCACCCCCTGAAACCTAAAAGTATGTAACACTTTCAGACTTGTTTAAAACACTCACATATCTACATGAAATAACTTCAGAGGTACCTACAATTAAGAAGTTCTATGCAAAAGAAATGCTTCTTTCTTTAATTAAACTGTAATATATCACACATAATATAGACAAGTAGCAGCATTTTTTCACATCCATAAAAAATCAAATTAAGTAATAGCTCAGTTATATCTATAACCATTTTTGGAGACACTTTGTACAATTGAAATGCAAACCAAGGGGATAGAGATGATGCAAAACTTCAAATGGATATAATACACAGAATCTGTCAGATTGTAATTTTTCAAATAACTTTCTAAGCAAATACGTACGGATTTTAGTCTGAAGAGCAAAATGAACTGGATATGTGGTACATATAGAGAAACCACTTTCTATTGACAAACTGCTAATCAATGAATACTTCAATGATTTTAGAGCCAAGGACAAATGCAACAAAGAATAATGTTTGAGGATATGGAAGAAGCACACAAAGTCTTTCATTTTTCTAATATTTCCTATATTGACTTTTTTTTTTTTTTTTGGTTTGTTTTCCTGAAATCTTAGCTTGCTGGTGACTATTTCTGCATTTCAAAAGAAAAAAAAATAGAGATATTATCTCTCAAATTACAATAAATTCCCTGGGTTAGTTATTACTGCAGACTGTCTTATCTACAGACTGAATCAAGTATAACTTTGAGAAGCTTATTTCCTATTTTCAAAAATACTTCAAGCTTTCTAATCCTAAGTTTCTAGTGTGCTGTGCATAATTTGTAGATTAATTTAAAAATGAAATAAAATAACCCAAAATATTGATTTAAGATTTTCTTATAAAATCCATCTCAGGTAAACTTCTCTATTTGAAAATAATTACAAGATTCGTTCATTGTATATACAACAGGAAAAATGACAGTAAGAATGAAGTTGATATACAGTTAACACAAAATAACACAAAAAATTAAATAACTGGAGCTAATATACCCTTCCACATGAATGGGTAATCAACCAGTATATTACTATATTTAGTGCTTCTCAACTTCAAATCCGTAACTGCTGATTTTATAGATGACATTCACAAAACTTTACCTTTAGAAAAGACCTAATACTTTCTGTGACGTATCACGGAACAATAATATACAAATTAAGCAATTTGTAAACTGCTAAATGTTCGTCATACAGCTGACATTAAACAGAAACATGTTATTAATAGATACTTTCTACAAATTCAAAAACTTTTGAAAAGTACTGTATTTTTAAAATATTTCTTTTCACTTGATCAATTATCTCTATCACATATATTTAGTCCCTCTCTTATGATATTTAAAGTAAATTTTAATGTAAACCTTTGTAGCCTATAGTGCACGTTATAAATTGTAAACAAAAAGCCTTTATTAATGAAAAGAGGAAGAGATGCATAACAGATCGCATGAAATTAAGGTGTTCTACATATACCTTCAATGATCACATGGAATATAAAAAAACCATCATGTTTGCTATCAATTTGTGCTCTGATTATCTCAATGCAGAAAGAAAATGGTTTTAAACAATTTTTTATAGGAGAAAATATTTAAATTTCATTAAGTGTAATGCTTCTATTTTGCTCTTTTTGTTGCTGTAGTAACAATCAATAATAATCTCGGATGAGCCCGCATTACAAGATTACTTATTCCCAACGTCTACCAAGTCATCTCTTTGCTGTCTGCAATACTATTTTAGGAACCAATCATTTATTGTCCACTGATGGTCTCATTTGCATCATACTCCGATACAGAAATAATTTAGTTACCAAAATGCACATATTCTCCTTTCCTCTTGGCTTTTTAAAACCTTGAAAGGACATGTACAGATTTATAGTATATTCCTACAGAAGATTTTGTAGGTCATCAGACTAGACTTATAGAGATAGGTATTGACAACAGATGCTTATAATTTTCCATGCGAGAGCATGTGCGCTAAGATTTAATTGGCTCATCACCTGAGTGTACTGGAACTGTTAGCAAATCAAGGGCATTTTAAAAAGGGAGCTGAGCACTTTACTGAAATAATGAAACATCTTTTTTTTTTAGCAATTTTAATTAAATAATGCAAAGGGTACATTTGGTTAAACATTTTATAAAAAAATTCAAGCAAAATTAAAAACTTAGCCAATTTCAACATTTCTACAAATTTAACCAGTAATTATTTTGGTCAAATCCACCTTTAGCTGAATTAATGAGAACAAGGACAAGGGACATTGAAGTATTCTCCTCACCACAATGGAGGTTTTTCTCACTTTCCACACTGCATAGTCACTACATGGAAACTTCCAGAATGATGAGCAGTTCAGTCATGCTCTACACTTTTCTTTTCAATGAAAAGTGATGTATCACCTTGTTTTGCTTTTGACAAAATATGGACTAAACACAAGTATACAATAACAAGAATCCAAGAGTAGCCCATACACAAGTCAACTATGTGTATGTTTTTATTATTTAAAGCCCACCATTCAGCTTATCTGTCTAAAGATAGGGTAACAAACAGTTTGTTTCTTTTTCACTAATGAAACTGATGACCAGTCAGTTTAAGGGAGGGGAAGTCCAAGACAGCTGTTTATAAGTCAGTCAATAAGACAAACACAACTGTTTCAGCTTCGGAACTTCTAACGTATGGCCTCTCCCTCAGAGGTCAAACACTGATGGCAGATACAACAGCATGAATATTTTGGCATGTGAAACTGTAATACAGGAATGATCTGGGAATAGTCCCTGCCATGTCTCAACGTCCCCCTTTGTTTCTTCATCTGTGACATGTGACCTGCTTAGTTCCCAAAGTGTCAACTCACAGCTGGCACACACCACGTAGTCCGCTTTGAGTGTGTGCACACTCCTCAGTGAAAGCCACACGACTGAGGTAAAACAGTGCATGATTGTGCTAGGAAAGAACAGCGCCCAGTGATGAACGTCCCTTAACGTTCACTTTCCTATAGTAAAATCAGCAAAACGAAAAAGGAAAATTCTTTTTCCTTTTGGCTGAACTTGGACTTAGTTGGATTTACGGTTGTCAGAACTGGTACCACTTCTTATCTTTGTATTTCAACATCATCTAAATAAAGGGAGAAAAAAAACAAAAAATATGTTTTAAAAATGGTAGAACAATATGTTACAACTAATTTCTATATTTTTCCAAAACATTGTATCATTTGAAGTATTCTATAGTGTTACTAAATTGCTTACTTCAAATCAGTTTATATTGAAAGTAGTAAGAATTGTTTCATTTGGAGGAAAAAAAGACCATAACGATTAGGAATCAGCCTAGAAGCACCTCACATTTCTTACACATGTAACATAATGAAATTTGGATCAGTGCATTCTTTGGTGACCTAGGCTAACAACCTCTAAATTTGAACTGAAAAATAATGCTTAAAGAATCTGGGGAATTAAAGGTTAAAAATACTCCTCCTACTGCCACCTAAAATTTACTGAGCACTTACTCTGAGCCAACGCTGTATAACTTTTTCCTTATATGATTTCATTTGGTCTTCAAAGCAACTCTGAGTTAGGCATTGTTATTTTCCTGATTTTATAAATGAAGAAACTGAAGCTTACAGGGGTTCCTCAAGGTGACATGGTGGTGAAACTGGGATTTGAGCCCATCTAGTCTGATTCGAGAACATGATCTTAACCACCTCGACGTACTGCCTTCCTCAGACTCAAAAATATGGCTCAAGAATATTCGTTGAAGGGAAAAGCTACCAGTTCGAGATTGACCTCTTTGCTAAATATTTATAGAGCGTGGATATATTCTGAAATTGACTGAAGTGTTTATATGCCTTAGAGATCATGGTCAGGTGCCGGCTAAATCTACAAAATTCTTCACCTAATTGAAGGCTGCTGGCCTATATCTGAAGTGTGTGTTGGCCGAGTACAAGAACCAACAAATGATCTTTGAATCTCTTTTAGGCCCTGGACAAATCACTTCCAGGTCAAGTTACTTCTTTTACATTCTAGGTGTCAGGATTCCAGAGCATGGAAGAGATGACTTTTGATTGAAAAATTTAGAGAAGATCTTTTGCTGATAGATTGGGTACTCAAACATAAAAATAACCTTAATATGGTATTTTTAGATAGCAAATTTGAAATGTCCTCATGGGCCAGGCTACGAACTAATAGTTAAATAGCCCAGCATAAAGCATCGAGGAATGGCACACCTGTGTTGTCAAAATGAAGAATGTGTATTCTATCTCAAGGCCTCTAAGTTCATTTTTTTTTTTTTAAGTGTACCATGCTGGCCAAGAAAGCATAATTTTAAGAGGGCCAGTTAGGAATTCCACCTTATAGAATGTTTCTGAGCTCCACCATGACTTCTTAGTTCATCAAGATGAATTCCTTACAAGAATGCATCTCACTACTCCTCTGTATGAATTGGTCTACAGACAGATTTGATGTTATTTGAATAAAAGTGTTTGCCAACTTTAATTATTTAGATCTGCCTAAGGAATCAAGAGGAAGAAATCATTTCTTTCTCGAGGAGAAACTGGTAGTAGAATCTGAGGCATTTAGGAAAGTTAGCTTTGCTATTGCATTCCCTAAGAAACAGATGCAAAGCCGCTGGCTTTGTTTACAAAAAACCTGAAGTTGAGCAGTTTCCCTCAGATTTATACACTTCAGTTGAAGACCAAAAACTCCTGAGACATAGTCTTGTAATAGCGCCCTCTGGTGGCAAAAATTAGGAATTTGACATGTACAGTGGACAGTTATAAAGTACAGTAATTTTTATACTTGCTATACTAAGTTGTTTTTATTCTTTGATAAAATATTTGTTTGACAGACATACCTCATGAGCATGTTTAGAAAACGAATCTGCACTGGATAACATGGCCGCAGTTCTCTCTTCCAGGTCACCGAGTTTCTGCCCTCTTTCATCTAGTGCCAGCCTGGCTCGGGCCAACTCACCGACGACCCCCGATGCTGCTCCTTTCACGCCTTCGATGCCACCAGGGCCGGGGATGTGCTGTGCGAGACTCCTTGAAGCTTTTCCCGACGACGACTCCCCGACTGGACGAAGGCGACAAATGAAAGCTTGACTCAGACATGTTTTGTTTATATACTTCACCTTGTAATACATGCTTTTCTTTTATTACGATGGTTTTAATGATTTTTAGATACTTTTTCAAACATGCAAAACAGAGTGTACATTAATTAATATTTTACACTATACCAGTTTCATGTAACAGGACTTGTGCAAGAAAGGAACTGGTAATTATTTATTGAAATAAATAACGGGTATACTGATACCAGTTTAGATAACAGTAAAAATTGTTCTTAAGTGTGCAAAATATTGCAGATAAATTAAGATAATTAAATTTAAAAACTTAAATCTAAATATACAGATTTAACTTAGTTTATTTACTCTACACTTTGTCTTACTCAAGATATTATACGTAGGCTTCAAAGTAAAGAAAAATGAATTTGTTTGGTATTCTATTTCAGGCTCCAAAAGTTTAGCTATGCTGCATGCCTTTTTTCTCTCCATTTATGTTGCCACTTACCAAATAGATCAAACTTTTTCCTTGACAAAATCTCAGGAATTCATTGCTTCCTTTCCCTTCCTAATCAGATCCTGATCGCCTAACAACTAGATTACTCAAAGCCTTAAATTCTGTTAAAGCTGCTGTCAAATTCCCTTTTCCCTCAGCACACGTTCCTTTCTTTAGAAATATAATTCATATAACCATAAGATTTGCCTCTCAACAATTTAGTAATTTTTAGTTTATTCTTGAGCATTTTCATCACTACAAAAAAAAAAAAAACCCACACGCACAACATAATATCATTAGCAGTTGCTTTCCATTTCTCAGTCTTCTCAGCCCGTGGCTATCAATAATCTACTGTCTCTATATATTTTCCTATTCTGAATATTTCATATAAATGGATTCATACAATATGTGCCCTTTTGTGTGTGGCTTCTTTCATTTAATATCGTGTTGTCAGAGTTCAATCATGTTATAGCATGTATCTGTACTTCATTCTTTTTAATGACTGAATAATATTGTATTGTATGAAGAGATGACATTTTGTTTATCCACTCATCAGTTGATGGACATTTTGAGTTGGTTCCACTTTTTTGCTATTATAAATAACGATGATGAACATTTCTTCAAGTTTTTGTGTGAACCTGTTTTTCAATTCTCTTGGGTATTTACCTAAGAGTGTAATTGTTGGGTCATATGATAACTTTATGTTTAACTTTTTGAGGAACTGCCAAAATTTTCCAAAGACTTTAGAGCATTTTACATTTCTACTGGCAATACATGAGGGTTTCAATTTTTTTTTCATGTTCAGGAGAACATTTGTTATTGTAGTCTGTTTGATTACAGTCATCCGAGTAAGTGGTGCTGTTTTGATTTGCATTTCCCTAATGATAAATGATGTTTGGAATCTTTTCATGTGTTTATTGGCCATTGGTATACTTTCTTTAGAGAAATATCTATTCAAATCCTTTGCCCATTTAAAAATGGGGCTGTCTTTTTATTATTGAATTATAACAGTTCTTTATATATTCTACATATTAGACTCATCAGATATATGATTTGCAAATATTTTGTCACATTCTGTAGGTTATCTTTTCACTTTAATAGTGCTCTTAGACTTTTAATTTTGATGAAATTCAATTTATCCAATTAGGTGTCATATCTGAGAAACTATCACCTAATCTAAGATCACAAGGATTTATACTTATGTTTTCTTCTACTAGTTTTCAGTTTTATCTCTTTACATTGAGGTCTTTGATCCATTTTAATTTTTGTATATGGTATGAGGTGGGCGTCCAACTTCATTCTTTTGCATGTGGGTATGCATTTGCCCCAACACCATCTGTTGAAAAGACCATTCCTTTCACTGATTTTTCTTGGCATCCTTGTAGAAAATCAATCAACCATATATGAAAGAGCTTATTTCTGGACACTCAATTCTATTCCATTGGTCCATGTATCTACCATTATGCTGGTAGCACAGTATCTTGATTACAAATTTGTACTAACTTTGGAAATCAAATGTGCAGAAAAAAGGCAAGGAAACAATTCTCCCTTAAACCCTCTAATGAGGAACATACACCCCTGGCAATGCCAGTGAGACTCGTGTTCATGTTTAAGCTACTGAACTGTAAGATAATAGATTTGTATTGTTTCAAGTCACTATGTTTTTGGTAATTTGTTATAGCAGCAACAGTAAACTAATTCAAACAGTAATTTTAAAATTTTCATTTTTTTATTGTTGTTAATATGATATAAATAAAATTAATTTTATATTCAGTAAGTGTGCTAAACTCTGTTATTTCTAACAGTTCAGCTAAAGATTCTTTTAGGTTTTCTAAATGTGTCAAGTGTATCAATCATTAGAAATGATTTTGTTCTCCTTTTCTTATTATTGTACCTTTTATTTTTTCTTCTCTTTCCATACTCTCTAGGGACTTCAATACAATGTTAAATGTACGTAGAAGCAGAAAACACTGTCTCATTTCTTATCTCAAAAAAAAAGTTTTTAAAAACTTTTAATGTTTCTGCATTGTGATATTTGCTCTAGAATTTTGATAGTTAAATGTTACATAAGATTTTGTAGCTATAATTTATCAACTTACCTTCTAAAAATCTCTATCAGAAAAGAATATTGAATTTAACATATCCTTTTTGCATTTGTTGGGTGGTCATATGATATTTGTCCTTAATCTGTTAATGTGGTGAACTACGCATTAATATTTTTTTAAACAACAAACCAGCTTTGAATTCCTGGAACAACTCAAACTTGGTCATGGTGTATCATCTTTATTACGTACTGCTGAATATGCTATATTAATATTTAATTTCAGATTTTGTCTATGTTCATGAATGATATTTGCTTTAGTTTTCCTTTCTCATACTATGTTCATTTTTGGTATCAAAATAAATTGATGAGTGTACCTTTTTTTGTATTTTCTGACAGAGTTTGTCTAAGAGTGAAATTATTCTTTCACCTTAAATATTTAGGTGAACTTAATAGTGAGGGCAAATTTGAGCCAAGAGTTTACTTGTGAAAAAGTCTGAAATGATGGCTTCAATATCTAATTGTTATAGGACATTCAGATTTGTATTTCTCCTCTTTCCATTTTGATGTTACATTTTTCTAGAATTTCTTTCACTGAAAGTTTCAAAATTTATCATGAAGTTATAAATTATATTCTCTTATTGCTTTTTTAAATGGCAGCAGTATCTTTAGTGACTTTTTTTTCATTCTTGACAGTGTTTACTTGGGCCTTCCTTTTATTTTGCTCAGTTCACAAAAATTTATCAATTTTATTAGACTTTTAGAGAATCAACTTTTGTCTTTGTTAATTTTCTTCTCTAGCATATTTATTTACTGTTTCATTACTATCTCATTATCTATTTTCTTTGGTTTATTTAGCCATTTTTCTACCTTTTTGAGATGAATGCTCAGTTCACTCATTTCATGTTTTCTTTTTCTAATAATAAATATATATTAAGGCTATGAATATCACTCCATGTATAACTTTAGATGTTTACCTATGGTTATGAATTCTTTGATACAGGTTATTCAGAAAATATATTTCTTAATTTTCAAACATGGGGATTTAAACTTAGCTTTTTAACTGCATTGTCAATAGATCACAAACTGATTTTAATCCTTTGAAATTTGTTGATTTTCAAAAATCATCTAACATATGGTCAGCTTATAAAAAGCCCCAAATGTAAGTTTTATTTTTAAAATGTAAGTTTTAAATATATAGGAAAGTAAAAAGAACTGTATAATAAATATGCATACACCCATTATTTAATAGAATACATTTTATAGGAACATTCTGTGTTTGAAAAGAAGGAATGTATATTCTGCAACATTTTATATTTGTTCAGTAGGTTTAAGTTCATTAATTGTGTTGTTCATGTTTTCTATATCCTTAGTTATTTTTTGTCTGCTGTTATATTTCAATCACTACATATAACCACTATGATTGGGAAATTGTCTCTTCTAGTAGATATGTCAATATTTGTTTTTTATATATTTTGAAGTCAAAATATTAAGTGCATTCAATAATGCCTTAAATGTTTACTCTTTCTGATATTAATATAGTTATAGCACTTGATACTTCATTTATGCTCATGCTTTTCTTTTAAAATTTCAATCTTTCTGTGCCTTTATGTTTTAAATGTGACCCTTCTTACATTTTTTTCTTTTTAAATTCAATAATCTTTGTCTTTTAATTGGAACATTCATTCTTCTTACATTTACTATTGTTATTTATATTTAAGTTAAATCTACCATCATTTATATGTTTTCTATTTTATCCCACCTATTTTGTGTTCTTTCTTCCCTGCTTTTGGAAGGACTGAGATTAAGCTGCTCTTCATGTTGAAGTTACATACATCTTCTTTAGGTTATAGAGGTCACCCTAGAAATTATAACATGCATCCTTATCAATGCTAATGGATACTTTTACATGTCTCTCAAAAAAAAAATGCAGGACTCAGATTATCTTAAATCCACTTACTCTTTCCAACTCCCTTGATTTCATGCAATTTTGGGGGTTGTATTGTTTATTTGTATATGTGTGTGTACACGAGCCACAAGACTTTGCTTTACAGTTTAAAAAGATTATGTTAATTACATTTATGTATATATTTATTACTTTCTTTCCAAAGCATTGTTTCCTGTATCTCTGACATTCCATCAAGGATTATTTTTCCTCTATCTGAAGTACACCCTTTAGAGTTCCCCTGAGTATGGTGGCAACAAGGCTTATTAATCTGTTCACTTGTCTAAAAATGTCTTATTCTTAAAAGATATTTTGAGTACAGAATTCCAGATTAAGTACTATCTTCTGTCAATGAATAGAAGATCACGCTATTATCTTTGGCTGCTGAGAAGTCAGTCTCCAGCTTGTTAAAAGTTATCTATTATTTTTCCCTAGCCATCTTAAAGATGTTTTCTTTGTCTTTAATATATTTTCATATGCTATATCTAGCTATGAACTTTTAAAAAAATATATCCTTCTTGGAACTCATTAGGGTTCCTGAATGTGTGAATTGGTATCTTCTATCCATTCTGAAAAATTTCCAGCCATCTCTCTTTATATATAATTCTTCTTCACATTCTTTCCTATTTCCTTCTTGAGAAGGACTAAACATGTGTTAGATTCTCTCACTGCAACTTCTATTTACTTTATCTTCTCTATTTTTTCCATCTTTTTGTTTCCCTGTGCTACATGCTGGATGGTTTGACTGATTTTTAATTTATGTAATTCTCTCTTTAGTTTTATCTAATTTGTATTTAAATTCATCCACTAAGTTTTTAAGTTTGGTTTTTGAATCTTTCGGTTCTCCAATTTCATGTAGTTTTTACACACTTGCTGTATTGATTTGTATAGTTTGCAGTTACCTGACAGAACGTTTAGGCATGGTGCTTATCCTCTTGAACATAATATGCATTATTATTTTATAGTCTGTGTCTGGGAATTTCAATACTTGAAATACACATGATTTTGCTTTTTTTGTTTGTTTGTTTTACTGATCATGGTGTTGATTCCTAGGGTTCCTGGTTATCTATGACTACATATTTGAAAAAGTATTTCTAGAAATAATGTGAAAACTTGAAATATGTCACCTTCCTTTGGAGAACATTTTCATTTGCTTCTGTCAGATGCTTGGGAACTTTAGCAGTCTGCAAAAATCTTAATTAAGGTTGACAGTTTTTTGGCCACTCAGGTAATTTGAAGCTGAGCTGAAAGTTTGTGTGTGCGTGTGAGATGATTTACTTCCAGTTCACCTTTACTTTTCAGCTGCAGCCTTTGGCATTCTCGCAAAAAGGAGGATTTGTTTATCAGGGTCAGCTCTGTGATCCCATCTTGCTAGTCCTAACACAGGTTAGTTAGTATCTCAGTCTCTTGCTTCAGATTATCAAAGTACTTCAGGGTAAAAGTGGCCTCAGGTTGCTAGGCTCACCACTCTGAGTTCCTTTTTTCCCCATGGATATTGCCCTTAATGTATTATCAGCTCTTTGATGTTTCTAAGAAATAATTTTTTTTTTTTTATTTTGTATAATTATTCTTGGTGAGAATACTATTTCAAAAGACCAGTTCTCCATGACTTGAAGAACAGTCTTCGTTTCTTAAAATAAATTAAAATTCACCAATTCTCATTACCCAGACTATCTGGATAAGTTTTAAAATGAAATTGCACTGCATTCCTAGTTACTGGTGTTTAATCTTATATTTTTCTAATTACTCAAACACAAAATGAAATTTCTAAAATATTTTAGAGAAAAAAGAAGAATGAAAGAAAAAAATCAAGGGTAGATAGTAGCTCCCACTTGAAAGACAGGTCAAACATTCATTGGTCCATCAGTTACTTTAAGGACCAATTTCTGATTTGTTGCCATTATGGGGAAGGTAGTAAATGGACCGGATTTGCATTTTAAATAATCTAGTGCAATGAGAATAGTTCTGCAGATTTTTGTAAGACAGAGCAAATGTTTAAGTAAAAACTTTTTCAAAACTTAAGGGCGTCCACACAATCCACGAACTGATTCCCCTTGACTACTCCAGCCCTACCTGGAGCCACACACGGCCACTGCAATACTATGGCTTATGGTATTTCATGGATTGTGTGAACGCCTAGCCATTGTGCTGTATGCCTGAAACTAACAAAAAAAATGTAGTTAGAGTTAACACAACACAAAACTGAATGTTATGTAGAAAATCAAAACAAATTTAAGGGCAACAATTAAAGTCAATTATAGAATTAAAGATAAGAGCAAAGGAGATCAAATACATGGTGACAGGAGATTTGACTTTGGTTGGTGAACACATAATGTAATATACATATGACATGTTACTGAACTGTACACTTGAAACCTATACAGTTTCATTAACCACTGTCACCTCAATAAATTTAATAAAAAAGAAATTTAAAAAATAATGAAGATCACATTTAATAAAAATACTTTCTAAACTATTCATTTCAAGTTGTGAATACTCCGTTTTAGTGACCTGAAGCTATTCTGCGTTTTGTTCCCTGAGTAAAATATTCCCCTGATTTGTGTAAGAGTTACAAAAAATAACTTAGTGCATTTTTCTAAAACATGGGTAGGTATATGAAAAACTGTGACAAAGGAGAAAAACGTGAACATAATATATACATGTAAGAAAAACTTATATGGCTTGAATGTTTGTTTTACAGGTATGTTATCCAAATTAAATATATCAACTTACACAGTTCTTCTCTATCAAGAGATTGTGCACCTCCTCCAAATAAGCCTTTGAAGAATCCCCTGTTTGGTGCTTCTGGTGTTTCTACAGGAGTGAAGAGTTCGCCCAACATTTCCTTTAAAATCAAAACAAATCGTAATTGTTACAGTTTCAGGGAAACTAAACTATAATTCACACAATCATCGCTGTAAACTCTTTAACTTAAGCTTATAATATTACCTGTTGAGATTCGCAAACAATTAAGAGCACATTTTCAAACGATCAGATCCAGTATATACTGACTTAGTCAAACAGTAAGTTATTAAAACTAAATCGACTAAGACTAACCTGTTGCTTGCTACTTTGGCTAGATTACTTTTCTTACATCTCAGGCAAAGATAATATTCCTGCTTAAACTGAGAGGAGATTCTGAGCTTTGATAAAAATTTCACGTAACTCTTATTATCATGAATTGGAAACTGGATTAAAAATTAGATATTCCCACCTTCAATTGAGTCAAAAAAATTAGCAATTCAGAAAGACATACCAACTTATTTTTTCATAAATGTATGCTAGGAAGAGAATTATGCCAACATGCACCTGGAATTTAAGAAATCTGGCAGGGAGATGGGGAAGGCTTTCTATATTGTTAGCAATTTCTGAATTACTGTCCATATTCCTTGGAGCATGGAAAAGGTAAAAGTTAAGTTAGGAAACAAGAAAGATTACTGACGTTACTTTGTAGACAACATAAAAAAGGAAGAAGAGTTTTTACAAGAGAAGGATAATAGCAACATTATTTACAAGGCAGCTAGCTTTAGGAAGTTTTGGAAGCAAAATAAAGTATAGTGAGGTTTTAGGATTGCATTTCTGCCCAATGAAGAGAAGTAGCTATTATACAAAAACAAAACAAAACAAAAAACAAAAAAAACCCAAACACTATTGGTTCCTGGTACTAGTTCTGCCGTATTCTGGTATTCAACATATTTTTACCAAGGCATTATTTTTAGGCACTGAAAATACAGAGGTAAAAAAAAATTGTCAATATTGTCTATGGCCATGCCACCCTGAACAAGCCCGATCTCAGTCTGATCTTGGAAGCTAAGCAGGGGCAGGCCACGCAGGCTCATCTGTAAACTACTGTGAGTATAAGGGACGGACATTATATAGGACCTTAGGGAATATTTCACCTCTGAAGAAACTATAGAAATATTTTTGTTATTTACCTGCAGATTTTCACAGGTCTCTTGACTGTAAGTGAGTCTCTGGATTTCTGTAGGTGAAACAAGATACAGTGCTTGTCCATTGTTGGTGAAGCAGAACGTTCTGGCTATCCGCATATTGGTAAGGGGCAAATAATACACATCCAATAGAGGCCTTAAACTCGGCAAACTTGAGAAAAAAAATTAAAACTTGTTAATAAAAGTAAGTTTTAGTCTTGAACAATCTATTATAGAAGGTAAAATGACAGGGATCTTATAAACCTTATGATTTAGTGCACCTGAGAGGGAGATAAAACTGATTGGTATTCCTCATACACTTGTTCACCGTTAACTGAATGAAATCAAATTCTCAGTTTATAAGGCTGTAAACAAATAGAAGCCTTTCTTTCAAAGTGAATACAATTCTGTAATATTATGTTTTGAAGGCGGAAATGCTATATCTGTGCTTTAAAAAAAATATCTAACACTTACCTAAAAGTCATAATATGTCCGTTGGCACAGAAACAGGCAAGGCAGATACTGTTACTTAACGTTACAATATCTCCACGAAGCACAAATGAGGTCTCTGTAATGTTCTGCTTATAAGCACAGTTCTGAGTTGGCAGTGAGATTACTTTTGCTTGTTTTTCAGAACATATCACTGCATACTGGTTTTCACTAATTTCCTGAGAAGACGAAGGGGACACGGAGACCGGCCGTCTTTTTTTCAATTTCTCCTTTTCATCTTTTTCTTCAGGAACATTGTGTTCTCTCCAGGCTTCGTATGCAGGTGGCAAAAGGCAGCCTGTGGCCTCCAGGAATGCAAAAATCTCAAGATCGCCCCTTTTAACCTCAATATGGTACCTAAAATATGTAAGTTTAGTAGATAACAGATATTTTAATCCACACAGTAAACATGTTTATTCCAACTCTGACACATGATAGACACTCAAAAATGTGTAAAATGTATACCATCTGAAATTGCACACTGGCTTACTGACAGGATTCAAACTTCAGATGATATTTGAATTTGGAAAAACATATCAATATTACATGCCCCAGATAGATAAATGCCACCAAATAGAAAATTCCTAGAATTTCAAGAACTATGTCTTCTCTCACACCTGGCAAGTGTACTACCAATGAGTATGAGAGCAAGTAGATAGCATCTAGAGCTGCACTGTCAGAAATGGCAGTAGAGCAGTTGTGGCTATAGAGCAGTTGAAATGTGGCTTGTCCAAACGGTGGCACGCTACGAGAGGATATGTGCCGATTTAAAGACTTAGCAAAAAAAAAATAAATAAATAAAAATTAAATATCTCAATAATTAAAAAATACTGATTACATCCTGCAATAAAAGTATTTTGGATATATCAGGCTACATAAAATGTTATTAAAATTAATTTTATCTGTTTTTTACTCTTTTAATATGCCTGCTAGAACTGAAAATTCTATATGTGGCCCACATTGCATTTGAATGGGACAGTAGTGATCTACAGGGCCAATGAGAAAAGAATTTTCTACAAATTTCTGAACATCAAAAAATCATGATTTCCTTTTAAAATGTTTACCAATAAATGTCAAATACATTCAGGGTATTATTTTTGTCAACTTATAGTCTTAATTTAGACTTGCTATTTCTTGACATGCTTTAGTTAACGGGACTCCGTTTTCCCCACACTGCTGAAAATGTAACTATGTTTTATGCTCTTTTCTAAGTAAGCGAAATGACAGTACTAATATGAAGGAATCAGAGACCTATGGAAGGAGGGTATAGAACTGATTTAGCTTTCCAGTTCTTATTTTAAAAGACTTGCTATATTTTATTACTTTATACTTATATAATATTTTATAGTTTTCAAAAATTTTTCCATATATTATTTTCTTTTATTTCTCAGAGAGCGAGTTCCTAATGTTCTCTCAAAATTCTTCTTAGAAAACAAAATAAAGTTTCCTTTCTTCTTGGCATTTATATATTTTGTTTATGGCAGGACTGCCAGATAAAATAACGGATACTCAGTTAAATGTGAATTTCAGATATATAATGAATACTTTTTTAGTATAAGTATGTCCCAAATACTGCATTCTCTTTCCATATACTGCATGGGGCAAAAACAAACTTTTATTAAAAAACATTTGTTATCTGAAATTCAAATTTAACTGGGCATCCTGCATTTTACTTGCTAAATCTGGTCTTTTAACTATTTTAAACGGTTTGCTAATTTGAGAATTGTTTATAGCACATGTGAACATTTATGACACAGTATATAGATTTTCTAAAAATGTACCAAGATATTTAAATATATGCCTGTTTTATAGTTAGCAGGATTTTGTATATTTTCCAGCACAGCAGTGTAACTGTTGGGTTCTCCTTTTGAAGGAAAAAACAAAAAAATTAGGGACAAAGTAGACCATTTCAGGTTCTTAAGCACAGAAACCCATCTGCTTGAAAAACACTTCTCTTTCCTCACAGTTGTAATACAAATAACATGATATGAATATCACTGTTATATTTTAAAACAGATACCTTACTAAAAATAAATCTCAAAGATTCCACCATTGAGAAGGAATTCAAAAATTCCTTACTTTGATATAAAATTATTTTTATATCAAAGTAAGTTTACAGCTTATTTGATTTTATTGCAAGTTGGAAAATACCTTAAATATTTTTATGCAGTTAATAATAAATTATCTATATTCAATCTATCATTTTTATTTATTGGAAACATTTATTTTCTTATTACAAACTGATACATGTTTGTTGTAGAAAATTTAGAAACTACATATCAGTAAAAAGAAGTAAATAAAAATTACAATCCCACTAGTCAGTGATAATTACTAGTAACAATTTTAATTTCCATCTTTCTAGTTTTTTTCCTATATGTATATTTGTTGCTTACTAATAAGAAATGAGTTAATAAGAATATCATTATGTAGCCTTTTCTAACAACTAGCATGTAGTATATACTCAAATATTTATTGAGCTGAATGAATAAATCAAACTTCCTTTAATGTAAAGAGAGTTCAGAAATGAACATTAATACATAATTATACTTTAATCCTAAATTTCAAGTATTGTTAAAGTCTATTATACAAACAGGAAATACACTAATGAGCAAAAATCACATTTTTTTCTATCTAGATCACCATAAACTAGTAATGAAAACCAGAATTCTCAGTTATTTCTAGACCTATCAGATGCCACATACATTTGATAAAATTCAATCTCATTTTTAATATACGGAGTGTAAATTTTTTCTTCTTACATTTGCTATTAAGTCACCTTTCTCCAATACTTCAAAGAAAAAAATACACCTAGAGATTTAAAAACAGCCGAATGTATACTTTTTGAAGATATACTTTTGTTTTTCTCCTAAATATGTACCATCGTTTTGCTTATAGAACATAATATTTTGAGATATATTGGAATGCATTAGGATTTTTTTCCCCATATTCTTACATAGTAATCATTTTAGACATGATTCTAGTTTAAAGAAATGTAAAACCTAAATGGCTGTATTAATAAATGATATTTTGGAATCATATTCCATCTATTCCTTTATTAAAAACATAAGACTGTAACTATCCCCATTTAGTTTACATTTTAGAATTCTTAGCTTGATGCAGAAATGAAAAGCAAAGGCTTCTATTAAATTTTGGTAAACCTTCAATATAAGCAAGACCCCAGAGTGTACATACCACTTGGAGACACAATTACTGGCTGAAGAAGTCTTTGCTCTCCTCCTGGAGGAAGGTTCAGTGCAATGACAAGCACTGTTCCCAACGTAGTACCAACCCACAAACATGGGGAGGGAGCTGAATCTGCCTTTCGAGTAAAAGTTTCACAGAAATGAAGAGCAGAGATGGCTTCTCGCGATTCTTTATCAATGCTGGTTACGCTTGAACTCCGGGATCGGCTGAAGGAATTATCTTTTACATCTGAAATGATTTAAAATATGAGACTGCTCAAGTTATACAATATCACTTCTTTTGTTTGGTATAAATTTGGCCAAATAGTTAATCTGCAAAAAGACAAAACTTATAGCATATTTAATCTTTTAATTGAAAAGAAAAACTATTTACTTTTATGCTAATGATTTTTCCTTTGCTAAATATAAAATGCAAATAGACAAATCCATACTTCTCAGAAGTGAGCTGGGTGCACCCCAGTAAATTTCCAAATGTGTGATCTTTACGGTTTTTAGTGCGGTCTCTGTTGGTATCCTGGCTCCTTGTCTAATCTCAGCCCTTACACCACCTTCTTTTCTCCTGGCGCTGTTTCTCTCTTTGGTAATACAATTTCATGATTAGGTAGAACTAGAAAAGTACAGGTATTTGTAATTTTCCACATTTAAAAAATTTGTTTAGAAGTACTCTGATTCTACCTTCAAATTTATTGTATGATGGACTTTTTTCCTCCCAAATCTGTCCACATGAAAGCCTTTAATCCATAAAAACTTAGCTTTCATTTTTCTTAAATGCCATTTTAACTATAATTCACATTCATCTAAGGCATTTTCCATCACAATATATAACTGGTATCTGGCTCACACTTAACTTGTACCAAGTGTATTCCCTTTACCCAGCTCTGCCTATAATGACAGAAATACTTATAAATTATACTAAGAAACCCTCTCTTGTCTTTGGCTACCCCCTTCTTTGTGGCCACTTTCAAGTCTGTCTCAAGCCCCGGCTGGCCTCTTATCTCCTGGAACTGCATTTCCAAATGCTTATGGGAATTTTTTCCTGTAATATCTCACAATGCAAAATCAAGATGCATATTTTCCCAAAGCTCTAAATTCTTCTAATGGTACTATTTATATTAATGACAGTCTCCTAAAGGAGTAGCAGTTTTGGTTCTTCCATTCCACTTTACCTATACATCTGATGGGATGCCAAGTCCTGTGTTATTTTATTCCAATGTCCTGTTTTTTTCCCATTACCAGTTAACTCCCAGTTGCGTCAGTTCAGGCCTTCATTACCATTTCCCTAGATTACTGCACAATTCCCAAGTGATCTCCCCAGCTTCACTCTGTCACTGTTCTAACACAACTCACATAATATAAGGTACAGTTATAATTCTATTATTTCTATTTTAAAAATCCTCAGTAGTTTCTCTTCATTTGATGCCTATAACCTTATTCAAGTTTTTAAGATGCTCCACAAAATATCTCTAATCTGTTCTTTTCGTCCAATCTTCCAAACCTGCTTAGTTTGTTTCACTGTGGGAAACAAACTAAGCATTGCATTCGGTGTTCTCCAAACATACCCTGCACTTACCAACTTTTAGACTTTTTTTTCTTCTGGTGGGTGCTCTTGCCTCTCCCTTTACCTGTCAAGATTGTGCTTATCCTCCATCTTAGGTACTAACATCCTCATGAAATTTATTCCAATTCCTAAAACCATATATAGTTTTTCTCTCTTTTAAATCTTGATACCTTTTTATCTCTCCTGTGGCACGAATAATACATTTGTTCTGTAGTTATTTCTGACGTGTCTTAGGCCTTGCTCTAAAGTGACTGTAAGTTTCTTGAGCACAAAGCCTGTGATATTCTGATGCCCACTGAATTGAGCATGGTGCCTTGCATATAAAAGTATTCAATAAATACGTGTTGAAGACCGATCTACAGTTGAAAGTATCTAAACCAATGGGTTTATGCTGTACCACTAGGGTATAATAAAATTTCTAGTAGCTTCTATTGTTCACATCTAATAAATTACTGCTCACATTACATGCTTTCTTACAATGCTATTGTGAAAGAAATGCCTTCATAATGTTAAAAAAAAAAAGTTAAAGTTTTCTAAGTTGTAGTTTATTAAGTAAAAAAGGTATAATTGGATCCTACTTATATGCCCTCAAAAGCTTTCTGTAATTAATTTGATAACAAATTTCCATGTAAAATAACCTGTGTAAAAACTCTCACTGATATCTATTAAAATTACATTAGGTGATTCACAACAATCTATACTGCAAATGTTAATTTGCAGGCCCAATAAACAGAGTTTTAATTTAATGAACTAATTTAACTATACAAAATTCATAAACTACAACTGCATTTTTATTATGTGACTTCTCTATAAAAATCAGATTACCAAAGAAAGGCCTAAGGCTAATCAATATGGGAAAATGAAGTGAATCAGAATCAACTTTGAACTTACAGAGTTAGACTACTTATTTTATCTGCTGAGAACTATTTGAAAACAAGTTAGAATTTCTAGCAGTTCATGAATTACAACTTTCACTGACTGCTATTAAGTTAGATGCGGTGAGTCTTTGTGGCTTAAATTTTAGAAACCAGGCAAGCTAAATACATGGAATCCAAATTTTAATTTTAATTCTAGTACGAGAGCAGAAATGAAAATAGCTACCACTTAAGCAAAACCTACTACATGTTACACACTATCATAACACCTTCCATTTATCATTGTATTGAAAACAAAACCTTGAAAAGTATTATCGCAATTTAACAAGTAATAAAATAGAGGCTCAGGTTAAATGACTTGCCCAGGATGACAAAGACAGTTAATAGAAAAGTTAGAATTTTGTACTCATGTCCAAGTCCAAAACTTTCTGCTAGACAACTCCAGGTAGTCATGGGGTTAGTCATACCACCAATATTATACAAGTGGAGGGTTTTGATTGTTGAGTATTGAAGTTCAGTTTTTAGACAGACACACACACACACGCGCGCACGTGTGCCTTAAACATGGGGTCTTTCTGGCAGATCTAAATTCAGACAAAACTTGTCGTTAACACCTCCAACCAGCTTTAGCTGATACGATCAAGTCATAAAATCATTGCTCTCATGTGACTCTCTCTAGATGCCTAGAACATTGTATTTGTACTTAGCATCATCTCCTTCCCACAGAGTCTAATGCACAAAAATTCTATATTCCTCAATTATAACAATGTTAAGAGGTGAATTTGGTCAGGGAAAAAATTAGGACAAAAAAATAATTTACATCAAGGTATATAACAGTTTGATGTGTTGCCTCCTGTAGCTGACACTTGAAAAGTGACACCAGAAGTCTAATATTCAGGGTTTCTGAGTTGTGGGCCATGGAATCTGGGATGTAAAAGTGTAGTATTACATGATTTCCCCACAAGCAAAAGTGAATTCTCACAGAAGCTTCCAGAGCTACAGGACAACCCCAACAGCCTCAGCTGCTCCAGCAACATTTGGCAATTTGAACCTATCAACATAGCTGATTTTCCCCATTGCACCCTCAGCCAGTGTAAACAATTGCCAGCTAAGAATTTTTATCAAAAAATAGTTCAGCAGCACAATGATTTAATGGGAAATTGGGCAACACAGAGACTATTTCAAGGCACATATCAAAGTTAAAACTGGCTTAGGGTACTGAAATACATGGGCACACAAGTTAAAACATAAAGATAATCCATAAAAGCATGGAGTACACACTTTGATTAAATTACCACATCATTTATAACAGTATTCTTCTAAAAATAATTATTTTTTACTAATTTTAAAAGTGCTTCTACATGTGTTTTCTCAGATTTTTAAGATACTGAAAGACATAAAATGATTTTAACTAGTAGTATTTAATGTTATTGAAATCATGGGGTTCTTTGGGAATCTAATGAAAACTCTGGATCCTCTGGTTGGAAAAAAAAATGATTAATGTAAGCCCTCAGATACATTTGAGTTCAAATTCTGTCTTCCATTTTTATAGTAAAAGGAACTATGCCCTTCTCAAAATGTAGGTTATCCTACATTCTAGAATTAACTTTAGTTCCTTTAACACTAGTGACACTACAAGTTTCTACTAAATTCTTTTCCCTATGTTTAGGAATGGAACCTTTTACTGATGACAGCAGATGATATGCCTACTCATTCAGAATCACATGCTTTCTATCAGTATAACTGATATAAGACTATGATATGAAACGGCTAAAATCAGTATGGTGAAACTGACCAATACTTAAGTTTGTATTATGCATAAAAAGATAGTCAAAGTATCTAGAGAATAGTGAGAAGATGAGGTGGGTAAGTAAATGCAAGAGAGAAAATCTAGTTATTTCTAGGACAAAGATGGGTGAAATCATCCTTAAACAGTTATACTTCTTATTTAATTAAAAGCAATAAAAATTTCTGAAATTAAAAAAAAAATGAGTTTAAAAAGAAACCATGCTTTATATTTATTACAAGAAACCTAATTTTTATCTTTATTGAAATGTCATTTGTCCCTATTCTGGGATATCAGGGAGCTGTTTTTCAGCTGGATGTGAAGCAAAAGGAACATGTGAATATATTCACTCTGCTTTCCTAATGGACTAGTTGCATAGAAGGTGCTACAGAAAAAGAAATATTTCTCAACTTATTATCAACAAAAATAATGATTCTTGATATGTTACTGTAATATAGAAAACTAGTAATTCATTTTGAAAATATTAAATTCTTATAAATTTATAAATTGTAGAGTTCAAAGTAAGTTTTCAGATGGTTAAACAGGACATAGTAACTTAATAGAGATCTGAAATTGCATAAATCTTAGTTTTATACTAAATTTTCTGTTTAGATATAAAGTATAAAAGGGATAAGAAAATATATTATTTTGGTTTGCTTGATTTTATAATTATCTTTCATAATTTACAGATGACATTCTAAAGGCTATAAATCCTTAAACATCTTAGTCATTTTAAGTTTGATTTCCAATGAAAATCTAGGCTATACTAATGTTAAATCTCCTGATTTCCTTGTCTTATCATTAAAGGGAGTTTACTATGGATTTTTATTTATTTTACTTACCTAAGTCAGGCTTTAGGTCAGTAGGCAAGCTTAACTTCCTTGACATCTTTGCTGAAAAATAAAATGCATTTTTAAAGTTCTGAACAATCTAATTCATATTAATTTCAACTATTATTTGAGACAGAAGCAAATACATTTATTACTAAATCTAGATGCTAAGATAATTAAAAATGATTAATAATATTATGGGTGGAAAGTAAATCTTATTTTCAACTTTTTAAAAAGTTTGTACTTACTTGATATAATATCTTTTTGTAGTTGAAGCTCTTACTTCAACAAAGAACCCTTTTAAATTCTGTTAATTATTTCTTAGGCTCATAGAAAAGGGTTAGGCTTTTCTAAGAGAAACAAGGTCATTTCTCAGAAGGCAGGTGTTTCACGTAAGGGTAACAGAGGCATAAGATTGAGTTTGGGTAGGCGATATAATAAAATCTTTGTAGCTCCTCATCTTCATAGTTATTGGACACATTATTTTTAAGTTAATCTCTAGACTACCGAGCAAACCTATACCTACAATCAAAGTAAAATATTTGATTACATTATAAAATATCTGGCTCAACCATTTCTGGATATAAGTTAACACCTCTATTTTAGAACATTTTACAAAAAATATAAAAATAAAGCCATGCTCAATCTAAAATTGCAGTATTTACAAAAATGTAAACTACAGATAATTTGATTTCTACTAGAATAAAAAAGCCTATGTATAAACTTATTGGAATTCACTTTCCATCCTCAAAATCAGTTATTGCCTTAATCTAGGAAGTGATTTAAAGTTAGGAGTTGTTTATATCTATTATGTTAGTGGCAGTGCATGCGGAACAGAATAGTGCTTCCTATGTGAAATTCTGAAAAAGCATTTGTTAATACATGAGTGCGTACACTGGGTTATATTTTGGACTGTTAGGAGATATTTAAAGCACAGACCCTGCTAGTCCATAAGGGCGCCATGTACACAAAAAGAAATCCAGACATAGTATATAACTTCCACATCTAAAAAAATGACAAATCCAGGGTTAGGACAGAGGCAATAGGAAACTGCGAAGGGATTGTTTGTGGGGGGATAGAGTTTTCACTTCTAAGCTTCATTAGTCTAATTAGCATCTTTTTAAAAAACAACAATGGGTCAAATATATGAATTAGTCTTCTCCCATTTTCGCCCAGACTTAATTAATCTCAGTTAAAAGATAAAATGGAATATAAAACTAAAACAGCCAAATGAAATCTATGGTTACTTGACCTCATAAAAATGGTTGCTATTGTATTTGATATCCTATTCCATTAAGATTAGAAGATATTATACGCCCCAAACCATCTTCTAAAATGGTTAAACACCTCTGAAATAATCCACAGAGGTTTTCACCAAAAATCACAGGTACAAGGTACACAGACTGATAAATACTATCTGTACAATATACAAGTTATTTGAAGTAGAAATATCAGTCTAGTAGTCTAAAAATATTCTTTTAGAATCAGAAGATGTAGATGCCTATCTAGACCCTACTATAATTTCAACAAGTTATTCTAAGTCTTCAGTGCTTGTCAAACTTGGACGTGCACATCAATCACCTGGGGATCTTGTTAAATCAGATTCTGATTCTGTACTCCTGGACTAGGGCCTGGGATTCTGCAATTCTATAATAAGCTTCCAGAATATGCTTATGCTGCTGGTTTGTGGACCACACTTAGAGCAGTAAGGTCCCTAAAAGAACCTTCAGAATACAAACTAATACTAATTCATCAACCAAGTATGTATATACATTAAGTCCGCAACAAACAAGCTTCAATATCTAGTTTATAAAATGTGGAAATGTAAAGTATAGTGATTAGGACTGGATTTGGGATCAGACCAAATCTGAGTTTGAATCTACTTTAACCAAACTACTAGGTGTGCAATCTTAGGCCAATCACTTTACCTCTGTAAATCTTAAATTTCCTCATCTGTAAAATGAGGATAGATAATAAGGCTAATTTCACAGTTATGAGGATTATATAAGATGATGTAAGTAAAGCACTGAGCATAATACCTGATACATAGTATAGATTTGATAAATGTTAGTTATTATTTAATAAGTAAATAAAATGCTATACAGATGAACAATTCATACCCTTATAAAAACCCAAAGTTACTTTATTCTAATTCTATAGTAAATTCCAAGTAACTAAGTGTATGATTTTAATCTCTCTTAGGATTTTAACTAGAAATTCTCTCATATAACTTCTTGAATATTTTAAAAATTTAAGTTAATCCTTCCCATAATAATTTGTCTAGCGCCACTGAATTTCTTTAACATGTAAAAAAATATATATAATTAACCAGCTTTCGAATAATTCTTTAGTTGATCTAATTTCAACATTTTATTAAAAGGTTAAAACCACATATAAAAATGAGGTAGGTTTTCTAAATATAGTAACTTTATAAATGAAATGGTTTAATTAGTCTATTATTTCCTTCTGAAACACTTTCCAATTGGAGACCTTCAAACCAACCACCAACCCAATCATAGTGTTCAATCCAAAGAGATACTTATTTGAACATAATTTTTACGTAATCTCCTTGAATACAGAACTTGAAGTGACAAATGTTAAGAGATTAACCTTTGTTATTTTGTTAATTCTATCTATCAAGTAATATTATCAAAAAAGAGTTTTGATGAGCTGAGAAACATTTAGGAGTGGGGGCAGGGGCAGAGGAAAATTTACTCATCAGTTAAATGTTTATTGGCCACGTGACAGCGATCTGCCAGAAGGCAGGGATTTCTCACCCTCTAGGAGCTCAATCCATTTGAGGAAACAAGTCCAATGCAATGCACCAAGTACTTCTAAGAGAGGTGAGCATGATGTACTAATTAGCATACACTGGATTTATAGCAATCTCAGTCTGGAATACCTAAGTAAGACTGTGGGATCTGATGACAAAGCCAGCCAAGAATAGTTTCAACTGTCTACATTTTCACAAAACGATCTGTTCTTGAAACTTTTTTTTGGTTGACAGTATTTTTCTTTTGATGTAAATTTTACATACAAATGCACCAATCTTAAATGTCTATTTGCCGAGTTTTGACAATCTATATACCCATTCAATCGAACCCAAGATATAGAACTTTATCATTATCCCAAAAAGGTCACACATATTCCTTCCCAATCAATTCCTGCCCTCATCCCCAGAAACAACCACTGTTCTGATGTTTTCTTCCCCACCACTGATCAATTCTGCCTATTCTAGAACTTCAAATACGTGAAATCATGGTATAAATTCTTGTGTAAGCCATCTTTCACTGAGGATAATATTTTTAACCTTCTTTCCAAAATATTTTAAAGCTTAAATTCTCTTTTCAATGTACAGAATTAGAATTTTTAGATTAAAAAAAACACAGTCTAAATGAATAGATTCAGAGGCAGTATTGGATTAACATTTTCTTACTGTTCTCCCATATTCATGCATTTCCTTTAAGCTTTCTGAATTACGTGTTCTTTAGAGAAAATTTGGAAGATATAGAGAAACAGAAAATAAAGTCTTCATAAATGCCCATAATCAAGAGGCAATATTTTTGCATATTTCCTGCCAGTTACTTTTTAAAACTCATTTTTATTTATACAGTTGAGATGAACTATAATATAAAATCTGGATCTTGTTCTTTTCTACTATTAAAGTTAGCATTTTCTTATATCAACTGTTAGGATATTTTAATGGCTGCATATTTACTTATATGAACACTTATTGAGCAATAAGGTATCTTCCAATATGTATGGTAATAACAAGTGTACACAAATGTTTGCCTACATTTTAGATTACTTCCTTAGGAGTTTTCATAGGGGTCAATCATTGCCAATACAACTCTTCCAACCACCAGGGTCTTCTACAATATATCTTTAAGTATTTTTAAGTTTTAAAGAAAGGCATATAAGCATAATGTTTCACAAACTTCTGTTCAGTTCAAAACAAGGAAAAACATGCATCAGAGAAAATTTAACAATATGTGAAAGTCCCAGCTCACAACTAGATCCCCTCAAAAGTCAAATTGTTCCATGTTTTTATATTAAGTATAGGTAAAAATTCTGAGGCTAGATTATTGCCTACCTTTGAAAGCAACTTGTACATTTTTCATGGATATCTCATGGGAAAGGGAAGAGAAAGGGGCAGGAAGAGGGGGACAGTTAAATCCTTGATATTTGACATTGTATCGTTTGTATTTGTCTTCAGGTTCTATAACCCTTTCTTCCGTAGTTTCCATTACATGACACTAAACTCATCCAGTAAATTCATCATTTCAGATATTAAACTTTATAGTACTAAAATTTTCATTTTATTCATTACAGAGTTTCTACTATCTCTGCTGTGATATTCTCCATCTGTTTACTTGTTATGACCATTTTTCCTTCTAGTACTTGAACATTTATAGCAGCTGCTTTGAAATCCTTGGCTGCTAATTTTAACATTTAGGTCATCTTGAGGTCAGTACTGATTTTTAAATTCTTGATTATGGGTCGTGCCTTCCTACTTTTGGTTGTGGATCTTTATTTCACATGCCTTTTGATTAAATGCTGGGCCTTTTGATTAAATGCTGGAACTTTTGATTAAATGCTGGACACAGTTGAAGGGAGTCTGGTTTACAGCATCAACCTTAAGAGGTGTTTTGTTCTGCCATGCGGTTAAATTACTGGTGGATCCTCTTGGTTTTACCATGCTTGGTTTTATTCTTTGTTAGGGTGGACCTATTTCAGTTTAAGTTGTTTGAGGGTATGGCTTTAATGCTGAGTGATCCATACTCCTCAGGAGTGGCCTTTTGGGGATCAACAGAATGACTGAGGTGCTCGGCAAGGCCTAACTGTAACAACTCCTAGCACTGCGCCACTGAGTGACCGCTGGGATCACTGGTCAGCTCTCACCCTCTCGTGAAGCGGGTGGCTGCTAGTAGGCCGTATGGACTCTTACTCAGCCCATGCGCAGCTCAGCTCTGAGGCAAGGACCTGTACTAGGTCTCCATACAGACTTCTAGTTCTTCCCTGAGCAGTTCTTTTTCTTCAGTGCCTTGCCTCACAAATTCCAGTCACTAACAGCCAGAACTCCAATTTCTGCCATCTTAGCTTAATGAGACTGCAACTGCACTTGGGTTCTACCCATCCTGCACTGCAATGGGAAAGCGTTCTGTGGCAGCAAGTTGGAGAGATAGTGGGGCTCATCACGTTTACCTTCACTCTCAGGGATGACAGTCCTGGATTGCATGTTGCTCAATGCCTGGGAGGAAGAGCCTCATGTATTGTGACTATTAGAGTGGGAGGCTACTAATAGTAGTCTGCTACTAAGTTGCAAAACCTAAGGTCTCAAGTTGAAATTCAGGCTGTTTGTATCTTTCAATTTTTGTGACTCCTTCTGGGGAATACAGTTGTTTTCAGGTCTATTTAGTCAACCTCCTTGAGGGCAGATCCACTTCTGGAGAAGCTCCAATCAGTCGTCCAGGTTTATACTCTGTTCTTCAGTATAATTTTATGATGAATGGTTGCAGACTTTATACAGCAATTTTCTGATGCTCATTTTTTTACTTCTTCAGAATCTCAAAAGCTCTTGACAACCCAGTTACCTTGTCAGTTGATTTCACTGCACTTGTAAAGAAGCTTCTGCTCATGTCCTGAAGTTATTCAACTTCCATCGAGGCTTTCAAACTGAAGACGTATGATTTGAATAAATTCTCGAAAGACAAATTGCTTTTTTTCTCAACTGTGTATTCTTTAATTCTTGTCCCTTACACTCAGTATCTTCCTAGCTTTACAGTCCTTTGTCACCAGAGAGAATAAACTAGCTCTCTTTTTCTATGCCTCTGTCCGAAGCAAAAACAATGGGAATAAAAGTAAAGTTTTTCAAGTTGAGGAAAACTGATATTACAGATATGTCTCAATAGGCCGTGAACTTGAGTCTCTGCTCTCTCCTTATAAACCTGAGTGAGGATAACAAGCTGGCTGGCTGAGAAAGCAGGAAAGAGCTGCACGTTCCCGGTAGCAATAATGAAGTTGTATCTGATCACTATAATCACATTTGCAATAGTAGTTTCAATACCAAGGAAAGATGCATGATGTTCAAGAGAAGCAAATCTCAGGGCAAGAGGTCTGCTGGGACCATTATGCCACAGATGACACATTCACCATGATTTATACTTTTTTAGTCCTTTGCAACTGTAGAAATCTTTGTAAAGTTTTTCAATTATGAAGATTCTTATTGCTTCTTTGAAATTAAACAGATGCTTTGTAATTTTCTTAGTTTTTCTACCCACTGTGTTCTACCTCTTATTTTTCTAAGGAAGGTTTCTTGAAAGAAAGGAACACAGAAATATAATTTCTGCTTTTACAGAATGTGATTTTTAAAGTAACCAGCATACCAACAATAAAAGGTAAAAGGCCTTATTATTATGAGAATATGAAAATGATGCCGAAAAATTGATGTTTATACTGAGATGTTCAATAATTAGAATAAAGTGAAAATATCACTTTTCTCATTACCAGCAGAGATCCAATGCTACCCCTTTCAAGGATAATGTTGAAATGTATATTAAGTAAAAAGAATCAGAATAGTAAGATGACTAAAAATCAGCTTATGGGAGATGGTAAAAATCCAAGGGGAAAAGTGGGACCAAGAAGTAGAAACTCTTATCACTTATCACACATTATTTTACTAGCCATTTGAACTGATATTAATATCTATCTAACTTCCATGTGTTTGGAACAGAATTATCTTGGAAAATACTGCATCTATGTGTGTGTCTAGCACTTAATGTGTACAGAATAAACACGGTGATTAATGAATAAGTAAATGAGTAAACAAACAGGTCATTGGAAATTTACTTCTATAGAAAAAAGGTGAATTTCTTCATAAAAGAAATGAAATAAAGAGAAAAAGAGGGCAAATTAAATATAGGCCTATCAATCAAAAAAGATGAATTTTGGAAAAATAGAACACATGTCTATAAACTGAAATGAAGGAAAACCTTTAAAAAGATACTAATACCTGTCCGGTAAAGGTCTGGTAACAATTTCTTTTAATTTTTGAATGTCTAGAGCTTTTGTCCTTGATATTTTTCCTGTCTCTATTTGCTTTCCATAAATTCATAAAACTTAATGTCTAGGATATCACTATAATTAAACTCTGCAACATTTTAAAGTTCATTTTCAACAAAATAAAAGGTATTAGATACACTTAACATAATAAGTGTTATGGATTGAACTATTTTCTCCAAATTCATATGTTGAAGCCCAGCACCTCAGAATGCGACCTTATTTGAAGACAGGGCCTTTAAAGAGGTGACTAAGTTGAAATGAGGCCATTAGGGTGGGCCCTAATCCAATGTGACTGGTCTTTGTAAGAGCAGGAAATCTGGACAAACACCAGGGGAGCACACATGTAGAAGAAAGACTATGTGAGGACACAGCAAGAAGGCAGCCATCAAGAGGAGCCTGAGAAGAAACCAAATCTGTTGACACCTTGATTTTTGACTTCCAGCCTTAAGAAGTATCCTAGACAAAAATGAACGTCCTTTGTTTAAGCCATCTAGTATGTGATATCTTGTTACGGCGGCCCTAGCAAAATAATACGACGAATAACGGCAGAACGTACGTGGCCGGGTTAATAGTTCTGCTCCAACAATAGTTGACGAATTATTCGGTAATATAACTTTCATCTGGACTAATTTTCTTTATGTTAGAAAACAAACAGCAAGTTGTTTTTAGAAAGAGCACTGTATATGTAAGAAAAAGACGATTCTATAGAGAGATAAACGCATATACAGTTAAATACTGGGATACAAAACAAAAAGACTTCGCCGAGCAGATTTTATTATGAAATTTACCAGAAAGTACATCAGAAATATAATTAAAACTTGAATACAAAATATGACATACTCTTCAGATTTTAGTCATCCTGAAAAAAAAAAAAAAGAATTAATTAGAGGAACTCAGATCTGTACAATGGTTTTAAAGTATCTGCCTGTGAAACTTCGTTTCTCACCAATTAAGGGTAATAATCTTTGAAAGTAGAAAATATTGAAGTTACCTGTAAAAATGGCATTACTGCACACTTGACTCATCTTCTCTTTCAAAATGAGCTTCTTCTCTTTCAATGGCCATGTTGTGGATTAAATATAAAGAATTTCTATAAGATGTAACAGCCACATTTTGGGTTGAATATTGGGGAATATAAGTAAAAATATCAGCACTAACTTGAGTTATATAATGAATTGAAATAATTTTTATAACTTAAAATTCTACTTAATTTAATACATAACTTTCATTCATACAGCAAACTCAAAATGGACCTCTAAGAATTTATTTTTCAGCTTGTAAATATAAAAGAATTGGGAAGACAGCACAAGAAAAAGAGACCACGAGTGGCGATATGCTATAGTAAAACAAGTGTCAAGGGACCTAGATTTTTTTCCTAACTAGGTGATCACCATGGGATATTACTTTAGATGTGCCACTTAACTTCTTTGAGACTCAATTTTTTTCCTTGAAAAATAAAGGGGCTTTGGCTGCTTTAAAGCTGTAGTATTAATGAGTTAATGATTTAGAATCCAATGACTAAAAACAGATTTAAGTTGTGTTGGAACACTTTAATTAAAAAAAAAAAAAATTGGTAGTCATATACAAGAGAATAAAAACAGCACTTGGACTAATGAAAATTATCTTTATTTAAACTGACTTCAAAAATTACTTCAATTTTTGCTAAGATAATTAACTGCTAACTTGGAATCTGAAAGAAAAAGAGTGTTAAAGGTATAATCCTGACTATATTAAAAAATACCGTATGAAAACTATCTAGTATAGTTTCTAGAACTAAGGATTTGTTCATTAAATGAAGCTATTATTTCTGTTTTTAAAATAGCACTTGTTAAGTCACTATACTTTTGAATGTTTATTTTTTTATCTCTAATATTATTTCTGCCTCATGTATTTTGTTATCAGTCCTTCTATATGAAAATCAGTTATAAAATTGGCCAGGAACAGGACTGTAGACTACAGAATCTGCCTAGAAATCTACTTTCAGAATGAAATAGAATCATAATGAAATAGAACTAATGAATTTTAGAAAAAGTTAATTATATCGTGTCAAAATCTACCAAACAATGCTACATCTGGGCCATATTCAATTCATAAAGATATCAAAAAAATTTGATTAAAACTTTAGCAAAGATATATATAGACTATTTTATATAAATTTTAATAAAAAGCTTTACGGAATTTTATTCTTCCAAAGTTTTATAAAATATAACTAATGAACAGATAAAAAATTGATAACCAATCTCATTTTCTAAATGATTTACAGACATCCCTAACACTATAGGAAAGTTATTGATTTTGGAAATGTTGATCATTAAAATTTTAATAATGAAAATTAATCGTAAGGTATGAATAGGCAAAACAAATCACTATATGTGTATTACACACATGTACCTCTTTAGGGATGCTACAATTGCATTATATTCTGCTATATTTTTGCTGTTAAACTCACAAGGTGAAAGTTATGTCTTTTTAAGCTGCTGGTCTTACACATGAAGAAGAAAGTCATTTACCTGAATTAGCAATCAGTCAGAAAACAATGAAGCTACGCTGTGAATACCTGGGTTAGGGGACTCTATTGTTTGCTGTATTTTACCTTGAGTTTGGTCTTTAAGGAAGGTATTTTTCTAGGCACTGTATATTATGTTTGGGTGATGGGTACCAAAATGGCATCCATGATCTGCTGCTAGGACAGTACTTAACACAAGCCATCTTTTTTCCAGGTTACCATGCAGATAGCAGGGCCATAACCAGATTAGCTAATTGTAAATCACTCAATGGATTTGTTTTTGAGTCCTTACGGCCTTCAGTAAATTGTCTTAAGAGGTACTATTGTAGTGTCAAGAGGACAAAGAGTAGAGTCAGGCTACCTGGGCATAAATGCTGGCTCTGCCGTTCACCAGCTTGTGACCAATAGATACATTACTTATACTTTAATTCTCAAGTTTCCTTATCTGTAAAACAGGGAAATAACAGTAAGTAGATCACTGAGGTTACTGAGTGGATTAAATAAGAAAAATGATTTTTAAAGGGCTGGTACGGTACCAGCAAAACTGTTAAGTATATTTAAAATACATACATATTTTTATCGTTTCAGCTATCTCAGCCATACTGTCGTGCAGTACAAACAGGGTTGCTTTTTCCATGCTTGGGTTAGACTGTTAAAGAGAGGATGGCATCCTGCAACCTATCCCTCTCCCTGGCTTCTCCAATATGAAACGAGCTGAAGTAACTTTCCGAGTAGGTGAAACTATGGGACAAAGTTTCAGAGCCAAGACGTTCTGTCAGCCTTTCACACAGTGGTTCTTTTGCCAGGGACAGCGCTGGAGGTTTTAGGCTTAATTCTTAGGCCTTCCCTTATTGGGTGACTGCATAACTGCCTAAAGCTGAAGCTATAAATATTCGTATACTGAGGAAGAGACAGGAGATGATTTTAGGAGGTTCAGGATACTTCAAAGCCAAGTATGGGACTGGATGACAGGAAACAGTGAGGTCACAACACTCAAGGAGTCCTGGCACTTTTGACATAATAGCTTTATATGGAAAACATGTCTTGACAGAGAGCTTTTTATAAGATCCTATAAGGTTTTTACCAATGTTTCATTGACACATTACATGTTTTTCAATAGCATATTTATGCTAAGTCTTACTACAAAACTAGACATTAATGTAGGGAGATAAACTGCCATTTTTTTTTTAAACTGCAAAAACTTTACAGTCTAAAATGGGGCAGTTTCCATTTGAATGAAGAAAAAATTTAGAAATGAGCTTTCCTTCTTATACCTTGGGATATATCTTGGGATTAAAAAGACATGAAAAATTCCAAACATAAACAAAATTATATATAAAATAGAATATATAACAGTGGTTTTTGAAGATGAAAAATAATTATGTATAATTTTATAAGTAACAAAGTTTCAAAAGCTGAATAAAGTTAACGTGTTTCCCAATAAATGTAACTATAAAAACTGGCATGACAAAAAGAAACACTTGCCAATACATAAAAAGAAAGCAAGAAACATTATCAAAGAACTATCCTTCCAGTAATGTTCTCAGTCCTAAGAAATGTGTTAACTGATGTTTTTCAAACATTCACGATCAGATATTCCATATTACATATTATATTCAAAACACAGAAACAAATGGGAAGCTAGTCAATACATTTAATAAAGGAACTATAACTTTGGGATCAAAAATTAGAAATTATTTAAAAAATTTAATTATGTACAAAGTCCCTTTCATGCAAGATAAAATTCCTAGGTAACTGAATTCTAAAAGTTCTTTGGTAAACTCTACATAGGAAGGTCACTTCTAATTTTTTTATATTATATAACAGTAAAATAACCTCTAAAGTACCATTAAGATAGAATACATTTTAAAGAAAAATTTGTTGAAAAGGTATTATGCTATAGTGCTAGTACATAATTAAAACAGCTTAACTATTACCAGCTGATTAAATTAAAACACACAAATACGGAAGTAAATAATTAATTCTCCATTAACAAAGAGGCCTTTGCTCAAGAATAAACCACCTTATTTAAAAAATAACCAGAAGTGTAACAGTCAGCCAAGTTAATATGATTAAACAGGGTTCAATTTACAACATGCAGACAATACAGATATTGCTTCTAAGAATTTCTGAAATTTAATTTTACTATATAATGAAAGTTATCACTTAAAAAAAAGTAAATATATTCTTGCTGTCTAGAAATTCACCTAATTTCTAGAATACATAGTAGGGGGTTTTGGAGAAATAAGTAATACAATAATAGTATAACAAAAATTTTGGATTTAAATCAAAGATTAAATTAATTCTCTTTTTATAAAATGGTGTTTCTCAAACCTTTAAAAATCTTTAGAGAATATTCAAATTTTTGTAACCAAAAACTTTAGTTTGATTATGTCCTCAAAGTTGGACTTTGTCAAACTTTTGTCCATGATTTTTAAACTTTGAAAACCTTAGATTGAGTAATTTATTTCAAAGTATATTCATAAAAACAATCAAAAGGAATAATATAAAGTACTCTTCATTGCTCATTTTTACTTGGGGGAAGGTGTCCTAGAAAATTCCCATTTAACCCAAGGATAGTGCAGATTACAGACTAAAAGAGTTAATCTTTTAGAGAAACATTACTTTGAAATTTGGGGTCTTAAAAATGTGAGGAGGATGGAATAAAGGTAGAAAAAAATACAAATAACACTCTAAGGGAAATAAAAACTTAAAAATGGGAGTATAAAATTGTACTGTTTATGGTATAAATTGAACCCTGCTTTATTTTGAAGTAAAGCAAAAATGAAAATTAATAGAATAATTCACACTGTAAGTCAGAAGAAGAACTGCAATCCCAATTCAACTGATTTTTAATAATTGTTGCCCCGATGAGTTAAGAAGACACAGAGCCCAAGAGATTATTTAGGAAAGGAATAACGAATTAATATATTTGAAATACAATGCATTAGATAATTTTTTTGGTGTTGAGTTAGCATTGCATATAGCAAGGATTAGAAACAAAATAGAAATTTCTATTTCCTACCTATATCACTGGCTACCATCTTGGAAAACTTTCTGCTTTTGGTCTTCACTGAAAATAATATTTTGATATAAAATGTCAAAATCTATTCAAAGTAAACTAAATGAATTAAATATAATTAAAAGAAAATACTTTAAAATAAAGATACTATACCCTTTTCTATAAAATTATTCATTTTTTGTTCATCATCTGAATTGTGTGGTGATGAAGAACCTACACAAATGAAGACAATGGAAGGAACAGGCACATAGTCAGTCACGAACACTGAGTTGTCACAGAGAAAAGTACAAACAAAATAATCTGGTAACTTCTAAAACAAATTTCCCCACTACTGGACACAGGGACATGTCATTTATATAGTTAATAATATTCTTAAAATAGCACAGTAAGAACGACAGTCGGTAGTGCATTATCTTTACAATACACCAATCCCTAGTATATGTAAATATTAACTCTAACCAATAAAAATTTTTCCATGTTACAACCACTTGGTCAAATCTTGATATGTATGTTAGAGAACACATAAAAATACGAATAGAGGTTAATTATTTTTGAAAGAAAATGTAAAAATTCTTGATATTAGTTAACTGAAGAAGGTTTATCTGGTAGAACTAAGAATCCTGTTCAAGTATTATACTGGCACAATTTATTTTAAAGTTAGTTTTCTAGATATAAACTTCAAAATAACATATAAATTCTACTATTACCATAGAGATCTTTAATATACTGAGGACAGTACTTCTAAGATTTTGTCATTTTTCTTTTAAAAAGGTGTTTCTAATTTTTCATAGTATTTTTAAAATTTCAAACACATATTTTTTACTATAAATGCAATTCTGAGTAATATTCTAATTGACTTTTATCAGAGTTAAACCACCTATTCTTTATAATAAAGTTAAAATATCTTATTCATTAAATTTTTCAATTGCTCCAGCTGTAAATCATTCCTCTTCCTTTGAATTACCATAATACTTTATTTGTAAAATTCTGATGTTAATCATTGAATACCTTATATTTTAAGTTTACACACATCTGATCTTTCTCACTGAACTTCTGAAAAGCTGGGCCCCCATATAATTGTGTCCCCTTTGCACTCAGTGGAGTGTTTTGCCTGCAGAAATCTCTAAGTAAACATTTGCCAAATGAATAAAGGTTTTCTGGTGGGAGCAAATATCTAAGACATAACTGACAGTAAATAAAAAGGTTCGTGTGTGTGTGTGTGTGTGTGTGTGTGTGTGTGTGTGTGTGTGTGTGTGTGTGTGTGTCAGTGAAAGTACCAAACCCTAATAAATAAGGTTAAAATTTGCCACAAAATCACTTTTTCTTTGTCCAGGTGGAAAATATCTTTGAGGTCTCTTCACAGACCAAGTAAAACCTGCCAACATTGGCAGGATCCAATTACTTTTATAATAACTTAAAAGGTTATTCTTTAAAAAACAAGTAATTTTTGCTAAATAGCCATTTATAGATCCTCAAAAATCCTATATAAAAAAACACATAAGTAACAATGAGCTCAGTAACATTTTAGAAATAGAAATAGCTATACTTATTTTTCATATAAATGTAATTCAGATTTAAACAAGATAATGGTGATAAGATGCATATATTTTTTAAAATATCACGGTCATCTCTGGTACTAAAGAGACATATGAATGTATAAAATTTACTAATACTTGTTTTACTTAACATACTGAATATTAGAGCAATAGCAAGATAAAATATCTAAACATAAATATAAAATTATAAAAATGTTTAGTATTTCCAACCTAAAAATAGGCAACATAAGCCGTAAATAAAAATAAAACAAGCAGATTTATAGATTTATTGTTCCCTTAACTGAAAATGCCTACCACTGGTTGTCATAATTCTGTGATTGCTCATGAAAAACTTCCAACTATGTTTTCAGCATATCCTACTTGAATATATTTACCAAATTAATATGATTAAACAAACACAGAAAATACCTACAGCTTTTTATTTTTCTCTAGGGTACCTGGCAACTCCTGAAGGCATCATTTATATCATGGTCTGTGGGGCTCTGGATGTCTTTCAATTTGAAATAACCTAACAAATGTTTATCATTTTAACGTACATACACATACATGCAAAAATACACACACATGCACACATACGCACACATATATTTTAGATGCAGTACTAAAAAAATTCCAACACTACTAAAGCGTTCATTGAAGCGGTCTGAGTTCTTTGAAATAAAGATGAAATGGAGATAGAAATAATTTTGTGTTAACTCAGGATGGTAGAATTTTCTATTTCAAAGAGACTTGGTTTATTCAAAAATAAATGTGAAAGGCAAATTATTTTTTAATAGAGCTTTGATACTGACTAAACTATTGCAATCACAAATCTTGATTGAGATTTAAAATCTTTTCAAAAAAGGGTCTGTTTATATGTAGTATATTGAGTAAACACACTAGTTTTGATAAAGGGCATATCGCTACTTTTCATTTCCGTAACAGTGATCCTCCTCTTAGTATTTATAAGGGACTCACTTGAACTTCCAACCCACTGTGATACATTTCGTCCTCTCTCATTAATACAGTTTTCTATTAACTATATTGGTTTTAATGATCTATATTGTATCATTTAACTATTTGTCATTGAGGCTAGTAATTTGGTTTTAATAACATGATCCCTTTGTGGCTCTTCAGATTTACCTCAAACTCACTCCCATCCATTTTTCTTTTTCGACCATCCTAAATTAGAATTTGCATGTGTCAGTGAGAAGAATGATAATAACCTCTTCCTTTATTTCCTTATTATAATGCTGACAGGAATAAAGGTAAAAAAGTTACAAATGTACAAAGAGTAAGACAATTGGCCTATGATATCGGGCCTAAATTTCTATTAACTATTTAAAAACAGGCAAGCAGTAAAAGATACAAGCTGTAATAATAGTGTCCATGGAGTAGCTTTCCAGAATTTTATTCTAGTTTTTATTATACTTCCTAGTCCTTATGCATGACTGACATCTATCTCCTGCTACATGAAACACATCTCAGACACAACTATAGTCTGCTGAAGTTTGATTTGTTTTTGTAAAAGTAGCTTTTCTTGCTGATATGCAGGAATAGTTATAATTCTTCAGAGAATGCTTATATTTTTCAGAGTGTAATCAAAGACTAAACTAAATAAACTAAGAGTTTTATACCTGGAGATAAGAATTTGTGACTTATCAATGATTTCTGAGGTCACAATTTTTATTTACTTTGCATTTCAAACTCACAGAGAGAACAATAAAATACGTAGTGTATTATAAATTTTTCTGCATGAAAACTATACTGGATGGATCTTGAGGTTATCATGGTAAGTGAAATACGTCAGATAGAAAAAGTTGAGAACCATATGATTTCACTTGTATGTGGAATATAAAAATGAAAGCAACAAATGAACAATACAAACAAAAACTCGTAGACACAGACAACGGTTTAGTGGTGACCAGAGGAAAAGGAGGAAGGGAAGAGGTAGATAAGTATAAAGGGGTGAAATACGTGGTGACCGAAGAAATTTAACTTTGGTGGTGAACGCACAATGCAATATACTTATGACGTATTATTGAACTGTATACTTGAAACCTATATAATTTTATTAACCAATGTCACCTCAATAAATTTAATTAAAAAAAATACTGTCTTTTCAAATGGAACAAAGAGCACAATATATTTGAAAACATTGAATGATTTTTTAAAAACTTGTTTATTTAAATTATTTTCAAGTATACAGTACATTGGTTAGACATCTACATAGTTCATAAAATGATCCCCCCAATTGCTCCCTCCCTCCCCTGCCCTCCACCTAGCCAATGTATTAATACTAACTGCATTCCCTATGCCGTGCTCCTCATCTCCATGACCATCTATCAACTACGAATTTGTATTTCTTTAACCCTTCACCCCATTCTCCAAGCCCCCAACTCCCTCCCCTCTGTCCGTAACCAAAGTGTCCACTATATTTGTGATCCTGTTTTTGATAAGTTTGTTCTTTTTGTTCCTTAGATTCTGCATATACGTGAAATCATATGGTATTTATCTTTCTCTGTCTGACTTGTTTCACTCAGCATAAGAATCTCTAGGTCTATCCATGTTGTTGCAAATGGTAGAATTTCATTTTTTTTTTAGTGGCTGAGTAATATTCCATTGTATATATGAACCATAATTTCTTTATCTAATCATCTGTTGATGGACATTTAGGTTGCTTCCATATCTTGGCTATTGTAAATTGTGCTGCCATGAATATTGGGGTGCATAGATCTTTACGAATTATTGTTTTGGTTTTCTTTGGATAAATACCCAGAAGTGCGATTGCTGAGTCAAAAGGTATATCCATTTTTAATTTTTTGAGAACACTAAATGATGTTTGAGTTTCTCTGGTACAAAGAAAATTTGGAGGGCTTTTATCTTTATGTGCTTCTTTTACCTTTATATACTTAAATACACTTATATACTTATCTACAATTACCTCTTGTTGGGTTATTTTAAACTGCTAGATGTACATACCTATTGAAAGTTTGGCTTAGGATAAAAGGAGTATTAATTTACTTGGCCTGAATCTTGTTAAAATACTTTTAATGGTCATTTAATATATTAAAAGATAATATGTTGCATGTTATTCAGTTTGGCTTATAGTCTTAACATATTGACAAATGCATTTACAAGGCCTTTAGAGAAGGTAAGAATATCAGAAGTATATCGTATGAAATCAGAAGAAAAACAGCAATAATTAATGATATTATAATTCTAAATTCTAAATGCAGAAATAACTCTAGTCCTGTGAGATGGGTACATACAGTTACTTGCTTCATATTATTCATTCTAATTTATTCTACTAATGTTCAGACGTAATAGCAGGTATTAAATAAGTGAGTCCTATGGCTCCATGTTTTATTAATTCAATGAGCAAATTTAAATATAAAATTTAAAGATTAAGAAAAATGGCAGTTATAATTACAAAGTTATCTTTATTAAAGATTAGCAATGTTTTAATCCACTGAAAACATAATAAATTCAGGATCCTCTTAATTTTTAAGGAGGCTCAAAAGATACTAAAAGTAACGTTCCCCTAAAAATATTTATAAATAAGTTACCTATATATAAACGAGAAAGGACAACTTCAACATAGCTATAAAATTATATCAGATATTATACTGATTAAAAATAAGAACAAATATAACCAGTCTACAATTATTCTAATTGTCTACAGTCACCATTAGTATGTTAAAAATCTTTCATAATATTTAAATACACATTATTCAATGAGTAGAGTACTATCCTACCATATGATGACAGGCACACCTAGAGCAAAGACAAGATTGTAGTTTCTAAACCATTTGATTCAATGATAAGTAGTAAAATATATTTTTCCTAAAAAAGCATAAATAATAGAAAGCTAAGTAAACAGTTATATGACTTATCTATCAGGTAACAGCTGTGGATTTCTATATAGGACATTTCTTTTCAATGAGAAAGCGAGCAAAACACTTATGATTTTAAGAATAAATATGTGACATAAAAGTTCCTCGTAGGTGTATTTTAAATGCTTATCTACAAAAAGAAATATTGATATGTTATATTGGTTCATGTAGAATTATAGTTATTAATAAAGTAAGAAACAAATTACCTGAAGTTGGAGATTTGCAGCGATCCTCTGGGATTACAGAGCCTTCACTAATGTCACACAGACCTGCTAAAAAAACAAAATCAAAAATCGAATCACACCACAAATGTATATAAGTGCAGTTTTATCTCCTATTTATAGTACGTATTTAATGACTGTCCATTTTAAAAGAAAACCCAGAAGATCAGCATAGATATTATGCTCATCAGTTTTGAAATAGGAACATAGGAAATTTTTGATATTAAAACACTTTAAACTAATACAGCAGTCATTGCTTAAACTAAGAAACAGGATTTTCAAGAGATAATTTGACATTCTTCAGGGACATTAGACATAAGGCAGGACTTTGTTTAAAATAAGCAATTTGAAGGGCATATGATATATTTATTGAATTTCTCTTGAGGGAGAATAAATATTGGTAATAAATTTGGTTATTTTTATATCACATGAACCTTCAACTCAAAACTCAAAGTGGCTTCTCCAACATATGTCTCAAACACCTCCCTTAAATACTTTTGAATAATAATACACTTTGTACCACCATACCTGCAATTTTAAAATATTGCATCTTACTTATCTTGTAGAGCTATACCTCTTAAAAACTACACCATCACATTAAAAAAGGAAAAAAAATCTAAAGAAATATTTTCTTTTTACAGATATGTGAATTATGTAAAACTAATCTTATCTCACAGGATGGCCTAAATTCTCAGGGAAAAACATAGCAAGGTTTTTTATGCTGTAGGCAAGAAATGTAAGACAGGGTAAATGCAGAGTAGACAATTAGTATAGATATTAATTTGCTTGGTGATTGAAACGAAAAGAATTCCTACAAATTCTTTTAAAATTACAAATAAACAAACACACATCGAAAGTTTGGCATAGGCGGGCAACACACCAGGGGCTGCACGTCTGGGCTTCTGAAGTTAGATATTACATCGACATACGTACATAGATGACCAGTATCTGCTTTGTCATTCCTTTGGTAGAAGACATGACGTCACAATCTTTACAGTCACCAAGAAAGTTTTTCAGTAATATTTTCAGAGAACACTGAGTGCTAAATTGGGTTAATAAGAAGTGTTTTCTATTTTGAACTATATATTATTTGTCTCTATTGAGAAAGTTTTTGAATGACAACCAGTAGTTTTCTTTTTAAATTTCATCAAACTAATGATTCTGGAAAAAATAAAATCCTGGTTTTTATAGTTCTAAGATGATAGATATAGGTATGTATTTAATCTTTGACAAAATATTTATTTATATAAATGACAGGTCTTTAAATAGTAGTGATATATGGTAACAACCTAAGTATCCACCAACGGATGCAAGGATAAAGAAAACGTGGTGTGTGTGTGTGTGTGTGTGTGTGTGTGTGAGAACATACATATATACATAGATACACATATATACACACACAAATATTCAGTCACTAAAAAAATGCAATTTTGCCATTTGCAAGTACATGGATGGACCTTGAGGGCACTGTGCTAAATGATGTAAGTCAGGAAGAGGAAGACAAATATCTTATGATCTCACTTATATGTGGAATCTAAAACAACAAAAACAACAAAATGAAAAATGAATCAAAAGAATAAGCTCATAGATACAAAGAACAGATTGGTAGTTGCCAGAGGCGAGGGGATGGGAGGATGAGAGAAATGGGTGAAGGGGGTCAAAAGGTACAAACTTCCAGTTATAAAATAAGTAAGTCCTGAGGCATAATGTACAGCATGGCAACTATAGTTAATAATTCTGTGTTGCATATTTGAAAGTTGTTATTAGACCTTAAAAGTTTTTTCCATAAGAAAAAAAAATTTTTTTAACTCTGTAAGGTGAGAGATATTAACTAGACTTACTGTGGGGATCAATGTATACAAATCATTATGTTGTACACCTAAACTAATGTTATATGTCAATTATACCTCAATAAAAAAAATAAATAGTAGTGATAATATACTCCAGTATTACAATGAGCCTAGTACTGAATAAAATTAATTGATTTTAAAAATTTAAGCCTTTGGTATTTTGTCAACTGCTATTAAAGACTATAAAAATGTACTATGTGATGTAATTTCAATTCTTAAAATAGCCTAGGAAGAAACATTTAGGAAGCAAAATCGAAGAATGTGATAGAGACTTTTTAATTTATATATTAAATTATTGAATAAGCTGAAAACTCCTTCAATGCCTTTCACTGACTCAGGGTAAAAGTAGAAGTCCAACCCTCCATGACTGTCTATGTCCCATAAAACTATGGGATATCCCATTACCTCTCTCCTCCACCTACTTCCCCACCTCCCTCATTCTTTCTACTCCAGCCGCAATTACTTCTCGTTGTACCTTGAACTCACCAGGTATTCTGCTTCAGAGCCACTGTACTTGCTCTGCTCTGCTTGAAACTTTCTTTCTACAGACATCCTCATAGATAACAGCTCTCTCATTTCCTTTAAATCTTTACTCAAAAGTCATCTGGATACTCTATTTAAAATTTAACACTCCTGTCATGGATATTTCAAATTCCCTCTTATTTAATTATTTTTCCCTTTAGCATTATTACACAATTTCCTATATATTACTTTTCTTGATAGTCATCTATTCCAATAGAATGTGAGTTCCACGAGGACAGAGATTTCCGTCTGTTTTATTACTCAATAGCGCACAACACATGGGGTAAGTGCTCAATAAATGTGTTGCATAATTGAATGAATATATATGAAAGAATTTCATAGCATCTAATCTATCTTGTTATTGCCAGATTCCCTTCAACAAATATTTCTAGCAATATAGTTATCTAGGCTTTGCCCAAATGTATCCTAACAACATTAGACAGCTGGTGATCATCCACATATACTGAGTACTTGTTATGTGCCAAGTGCTGTTCTAAGTGCTTGACCACAGTCAAAGGGGTAGACAGAATTATCCTCATTTATAAAAGAAACTGGGACACTAAATGTTTTAGGTACCTTATTAGCGACATACCTAATTACTTCTAGAGACAATCAAATTCATGGTCATTATCTGAGATACACGCCTTTTCTTCCAAATGTTTAAATAGGAGGCTTCATTTACTATTAACAAAACATAACCATATCCTATTCAACACAATACATTCACTAACTGAGGCACACTACATTAAAGTTAATATCAGGCCACAAGTTGACCCACTAGGTCATATGGTTTAATCCAGGGATTAGCAAATATTTTCTATGAAGGTCCAGATTGCTTTTTGGAGCCAATCTGTTAAAACTACTCAGCTCTAATGTTGTAGCATCAAACCCACAGATGAAACAGAAGCAGATAAGCATGGTGCTGGTCCAATAAAACTGATTTGAGAAAATAGGCAGTGAGCCAGATCTGGCCCAAAGAAAGCAGTTTGCTGACTTCTGGTCTAATCAATCTTGCCATCGTCAAACTAGGTATTTAGGTCAGTTCTACCTGTCTGGGTCATTAAAGTATCACAGAATTCTTTATCAAATACTGATTAACTTGAGGAAACATTATGCAACAGGCTTCCATAAGCCATCAAGGTAGTTAAAATGTTAATTTTGGTACAACCTACTTTTAGTAAATTCCTTCTGACTTCTATTGATATCTCTGTTTTCAATATGCACACAAGAGGCATCAGTTACTTAGCAAATGAGTTGAGAATTTTGACTGATTTTTACTTCAAATTTACTGATTCACAAAATATTTGACCTTCATCAAATTAGGGCTACCATTTACAAATTCTCTTCACAAATTCCCTTGATATATTTTTATTATTGCTTGGTCTGCCTTACTTACATAATGTAGCTTAGACTTTAATTTCTCTTTATTATTCTTTATACTTCTCAGAGAGAAAAATCATTCTTCTTAATGGAGAACTGAGAAACAAAGTTACTTAATTCTACATTCTGTTTTTTTAACAATCATTTCAAATCATCCGTAAAGTGGGGTTCTAATGCTTCCTTAACTATGTTTTCACTGTAAATATACATTTTGCTGTATTTCACGTTTTTTAGAAACCAGACTTAATTCCAGGCAATACTTATTGATCTATGCAACATCTGTATCTATCTTTGATTGCACTGCTTATTTCTTATAGTCTCGCTCTCTCTCACACACACACACACATACACACACACAGAAATTTCAACTAGTACTACTGGACTCCATAGCTAGTTCTCTTTTTCTATCTTACTGAAAATATTGAAGACTTGAAAGTATTAGCAACTGTATAAACAAAAATTTCACTTTTAAAGTGTCCTCTCCATAATTTTTGAAAATACCTTTCCTAAAGTTTACTTACAATACTAAGTAAGTAGTTGTTTTCATGTATTTATCATTTTCACATACAAATTAGATCTTATTTGGGGTTTAGAATTATATTTAGAATAAATATTTCCCTTTTGTGTCCTCCACTGAGTAAAAAACGGCCAGTAAAACAAGACATAGATTATCATGTTAAACTTCTGGTAGAATTTAGACTTTTTGCAGATATATAGGTAGTTAAAATACTTTATCACTACTTGTCCCCATGTCAGTTTCATAATTTTATTATGAAAACACTGTACATATTGTATTTTAACAAGCTATAAAACATTTAAACTTAAACATAATGTTTTATCTTATAAAATATTTTACTTATAAAATATGAATGTTTTATCTTATATAATTATCCTACTCTTTATAAAAATGTATCACCATCTATTGGTAGCAAGAAAGTTTTTCCATTCAAACTGATCTAGTAAAAAGACAGAATAACAATTTTATGAAATTTGAGCTACATTTGAAGAATATATTATGAAATATACAGTTTAGCGAGAATATCATTTTTTTATTAATGTGATTAAAGAATTTTAGTGCTAATTATTCTACATTTAATTTTATTTGAAAAAGAAATAATTATATTTTAGAATTAAGGCAAATAATTAGTAAGATATTAAGGTGTATTTTAAAATCTTTTTAAAATTTAAAACATGATCTTAAATATTATTAAAGTGACCATAGTAACCATAAGTAAATATCTTAAACCAATAAAGAAAAGCTCAGATGTTTAGACATAGGAAAACTAACTGCAATACAAAATGAAACAAATAATATAAATGAGGTTTACTACAGAATAAAGAAGGATGCAATGCAATTTAAGAAAAAATATTTTTAAAATTACATTGCACAATTGATCTTTATCCTTGAATAAATTTAGGTATTTCATTTCTATCAAATTTATGTAAACTATGATGAGGTATCAAAGAAAAGTAATTAATTTTAGTAATAGTAAAATTTTCACTACAGGTTTGTAGTAAAATTGTTAAAAGTATTTATCTCCTCCCCAAACAGTTCTAACCTTCTAACACTAAATACTAGTTTCTCTGCTTTACAAAGAAACTGGATTGGGACACAAATATTTCCATAGCTGTCTGCATATACATATTATGAGATAAATTTAAGTAATGAGTATATTATGTTAGATATAGTGTTTTAATAAGCTTTTAAAAATAAACACAATGAAAAAAAACACACAATGATTTTACAGACAAAAAACAAACATGCCATGACTTTACTGACATGAAATAAATAACTTACTTAAAAAAGAAGAACGGAGTTTTTTCACAGATTCAGAATATAAGCTAGAAAGGCCGCACATGCAAGAAGTCACACTCAGCATACCTTAGTGAAGCAATGAAAAGCAAAAGGAAAAAAAGGAGACAAAGGTACTAGAATGGTATGGCTGGGACAATTTTTGCTGAAGACAACACATGACAAAATGATCACACACACAAAAACGGAAAAAAAATTCAACCATCAAGCATAAGTGATAGTCAGCCTACGTTGCATCACCTTTTTTTTCTTCTCTCGTGAACTGTGGTACAGGTAAAATGAGCCAATAATGTCATGAGAGCAATTGAGAAGTGAACCTGAGAGAATTTTAATTCTGAGGGACAGAGTCAGGAAGTCAGACCAGAGCTTCCCAGTGCTGCACTGCTCATTAGCATTCCACTACTGGGTTAAATCTGCCCACAAATCAATCCCTGGTCCAGCAGGGCAAGTCTTGGGAAGACAGGAGCCTGCAGGCCAATTACTGCTGAAGGCCTCATTTATAAGTACCAGAGACCCAGTGCCATTTTCTGCGTGTGCGATGAGGTTAAAAAAAAGGTGAGGAGTACTGGTGTAGAAAGCTAACTATACTTGTGTTCCATGAGGTATTGGTATTAAAACATTTAAAATTAAGATTAACTACCTAGCAAACACAGAAGAATGCTATAAAGAGAATTCTTAAAGGGTCTGGGTTTGCACTGAATCAAGGCTGAGAACATTATTATTTTCATAGAACAGAAATTTACTTTTGCATCTATTTTTTCACATGAGAAAAGATTCCCTTGAATTAAACAGTTGAAACAATAACTTGTTGGTCTCATAATATCAAATAATAAAAGGAGCAAAACTTTGAAATTAACTTTTGTTCTATAATAATGAGACAAATTTTCCTTTCATTATAATTTTAACTAAAGAAGTCTGACACTGTGGTACTTTCTCAACATTAAATAAAATTCTAGAACATTAAAAACAAAAGCAAAATGTAATAATATAAAACAAAAAAAAGAGGCTCAAACTTTTTACTAGTTTTTAACAGTTTATAAATACAGACTAAGTCAGACAAGCTATTCATTTAACTGAAATACTTATATTCACAGAAGTAACTAACTCAGCATTTATAGAAATCCTAAAACTCAGGATTCTTTTTCTTTTTACCTCCTGAAGGTTGTCGAGATTTACGAGGAGACCGGGGTTCTCTCCGATAAGGATCATTGGAGCCATATAATTCAACAGTGCCCAGGTTGAGGAGTACTGCTTTCTGGAGGTAGTCAACCATCGCTATGCCATTGCAATTGCCAAAAACTACCCTGGGAACAGGAAAACAGCAAATATTTTAGCACAAATAAATGATTACAAGAAAACGTAGCCTATAAGGCTAAAAAAGAAGCATGATGGGTCTTAGAGAAAATTCCTCTTTGAAACAATAGTATCACAGACATAAAAAATAGAGGTTACATAGGTCTTCTCATGGAACTATGCGTATCTTCTGCATACATTAATGGTTACAAATCAATACCATTAAAAAATTTGACGTTGGGGATCTGACAAGATGGTCAGGCTTCCCCTCAGGACTACCAAGGAAACCCAGGGTATGCTAGCAGAGCCAGTCCCCGGCATCAAAGCAGAACCAATGAGAGCAACGCCCATTATTTTCATGTGGTCATTACTGGCCCCCACGATCCTCCCCCTTTGAGGTAGGGATTTTAAAACTTGACCTATTCCTTCCAAAAGAATATCTGATGGCAGCCCTTAAAGTACTTTTCATGACAAAAATTTATCATCCTAATGTAGACAAACTGAGAAGAATATGTTTAGATATTTTGAAAGATAAGTGGTCCCCAGCACTGTAGATCTGCACAGTTCTGCTATTGATCCAGGCTTTGTTAAGTGCTCCCAACCCAGATGATCCATTAGCAAATGATGTGGCAGAGCAGTGGAAGACCAACGAAGCCCAAGCCATTGAAATAGCTAGAGCATGGACCAGGCCGTATGCCAGGAACAATATTTAAATCAATCTGATCATCAAGTGTGCATCACTTCTCCAGTTCTGCCAAGACGTCTTCTTTTTCTGTTTGCACTTAATGGACATAGTCTAAGAAACATTACAGCATAAAACCCCAGACACCTTCAGTCCTTTGGTGATTAAATGCACATTAGCTAATCTATGTCTTGTCCTGATTTACTGCTGTAAAGCATGGGCAGTGGCTATAGGTTGCATCGGCATTGTGGTGAAACATTTAAAAGCAGTAGTGCCTCTCTGCTTTTATTCATTTCCTCAACGTGGTTTAAACATAAAGCACTGTGAACGAAGGTAATTGTCAGAGTTAGCTGCAGGGGTGTGGGTGTTTTTCTTTATTTTATTATTTATTTTTTCTGAGGGGGGAGGTAGTTTTATTTTAACTTTATGTGCTCCTTTCCCCCTTTTTATGGTGATCTTAACTGCATTGGTTAAAAGCAGTTAACCTATTCTTTAGATTGTGCTCTCTAGCCAAGTCTAACTTTATTCAGACACCGTAGATAGACCAGCTTAATTGCATAAATCAAAATGGGAACATTAAACAAACATCACAGCCGTTGCTGATAACACTGAGGCTGCTGTCAAGTGTAGAATCCTCTCTTCAAAAAAAAGCTTGTGACCATTTTGTATGGCTTGTCTGGAAACGTCTGTAAATCTTGTCTTAGTAAAATATTTTTTGTTATTCTACTTTGCCTTTACAGTTTATTTTACTGTGTTTATTTCATTTTCCCAATGTGACAATTGTATTTAAAAACCGAAACTGATAAAACATTCTGTTTTGGTCTTAACCATCTGACAAACTGAATGGCAAGAGGTGGCTTTTGCTAGCTTCTTTTCACTGACTCAAATTTAAGATACCACTGGAGTATTTTTAAGCTGGCCCTGAGCGTATGTAAAGCATCAGTACATTTTTTTTACCGCCTAGAAATTTGAAACGAACGTGTGTTGTCTGATTAGCTAGACGATCACTGGTGTCTTGCCATGTCTGAAAATTACTGTACGTGAGAGTCACAGCAGAGCAGCAATATGACCCACCTTGTGTGTGACTTCCACATGTTGTGGCGCATTTGTGACAGGTATTTGGGTTATGACCTTTTTCTTAGTTCTTGTCTGAAAACCTCATGTGTGACCACTGGAAACACCAATCTGATAATCATCTGGGGTCTTCTCAGGCATTTATGAGTCTTCCTTACAGACTTGATGAGCAACTGGCTTGCGTAAGTGTCATCAGAAAGGCTTCTTCGTTTGGGAGTACCAAGTCTTTGGTTACGGATTCTTACTTTCACCCTTCTAGTATTGCTATGGTATCTCCTTTTATTCTTTAATTTGATATTCCGTGATTTTTTTCTGCATTGACAGAGTTCCTCCCCCCACAAAACTGTCCTTTCCCACCTCTCTCTCCATATCTAATCCTGATTCTTATTTTTAAGTCACCAATGTAGCCAGTTCTAAGTATGTGAATGTTAACCTGTGGGCTGGAACCCTTTTCTCACAGTTCAAGGTAATGGATATCATAGCCCGTCTGAATTTCCCCCACTCTTATTCTTGTAACTTCTGGAGTTTATTCAGAATGTGGTATAGTTACTGTGCTCCTACGTAAGACGAAAAATTATCTATTAAAATTACATTTTCAACATTAAAAAAAAAACTGACACAGGAGTTGCAACTTGATCAGAAACATAAATCCCACGCTAGCCAGTGTGACGTTTTTCTTCTGACTTAGGGGAATTCTGACCCCTCAGGAGAGGACGTAATCCCTGCCACTAGGGAAGCAAGAGACTGTATCTTTAGGAAGGTTTTGGTGATCGACTATGAATAAGGTAATTTTATTCCTTTGAGATCTCTTAAGCCAGGAGTTGAAAACTGAAATATATACAGGGGCTATATAAGTAAGTAAAACAGGTAGATAAGAATGATGGTGAATTGCATGGTGTACGACTCAGCTAAAGAGGAAAAACTTCAACTTGGTTCAAAAAAAAGCAGGAATGGGGCTCGGTTCAGACGTTCCCATTAACACTCAGAGTATGGCTTTTCACATCAAATAATCTGGACAACTAGTTCAAATTTTAAAAACACACAAAAAGAGCTAAACGAAATATAACTGTGAGTCAATTGAGACCTGTGATTGTATTCACAACCCTGTTTGGTTTCTTTATGATTCTGGACAGTACAATATTAAAGAGGAGAAGGTTTGTGTTCTTACATTGTGGGGCAGCAAGTAAAAGACATGAAAGGACACTATCTCAGACGATAGCCAGTCTTAGCTGGTGCACGACTGCAAGAGATATGAGTAGGTAGTAGCAGCTGTAAGAGGGAAGACGAACGATGAATGAGTCTCTAGGACTAGCATCAAGGAAAGGAAAGAGACAGTGACCTACACAGGATAAATAGCCCTGGGACATGTGGTTTCTCTTATACCACAATGTTGATTTTAAGACAAACGAACATAAATACTTTATATAAGTCTATCACATTATAATAAGAAGTATGTACAATTAACACTACATACTCGAAGGCATGAGTTAATAAAGACACCTGTAGTATAGGTGAATACTTTATTAAACAGTTAGTATGTCTTTACAATTTATACAAGTTAACTTTGGAAGTAGAAAGAACCAATTACGTAGCTATGGTTGACCAGTTATGGAATCAGCTTAGCACATAGTCTTCAGGGTTGATGTTGCTAGATCACCATTATACCAATTAATAAAAGAAAGTTATTCCTGGGAATATACCCAGGAGAAGATGTAGTGACTTTAAACCTTTATCTCAATTCACTGGTCCACGAGTCATTTAACTTTTTATCCGGAAGCAGGATATGCATACGCATAGTAAATTATTCAGAACAGAATTATGTTCCAAATAAACACTGAATTTGGTCTGAAATTAAAGTTATACAACAACTTTTTAGGTGATACTATAATAAAAGATCCTATTTTTGAAAATTAAAAAATGTATAGAATATTATGAAGAGACTGAGTAACACATAAATTATACTTACAATCCATAGGAAGAATTGACTGCCAGGCTGGTTATTTGTTGTGGTGGTTCTCCACCCACCCATACCAACTGAATAACTAGTTCTGTCTGATATCCTGGAGACTGTTTAAGTGGTGAATTTTTAACTCTGCAATAAAGGAAAACATGTTACCTTTTAACCTATCTTCAATATCTTATTAGCCTATATAATTATAGAGCCATGCATGAATACCTATACAAAAAATAACATTTTATATAAAATTGTACTAGATATTTAAAATTCAGAACCCTGTCCTCTAGGAGTATTTAATCTAGTTGGAGATCAAACATGTACATAGTTTAAAAAAAAAAAAAAGAAAGAAAAAATCGCATCTAAGTTCCACATGTCGGGGAGGCACCCAGGGGGAAGGACGAAAGGGAGCAGTGGGCAGGGATGGGAGGAAGAGATGAGAGAAGGGCAGGGAGGGTTGGGGAGAAGAATGAGAAGCAGCAGCAACCCAGGAATAAAGAGGAAAAAAATTCAAGTTTTAAAAGCAGACTTAAAACTTAAAAATATGATTTAACTAAATGAAAACTGGCCAAAACCATAACAAGTTAAAGAACAAATTAAAAAAGAAATGTGAGCAATTTATTTTTGTGACACTTTTACTAAAAAAAAAAAAAAAAAAAAATCTACTTTGACTTTAAGGTGAGAACATTTGTGATTACACAGCCTCTTCCTCCAATAACTGCTCTTTGAAAACATATGCAAAGCTTGGTTACTTCAAGAAGTCTTGAGCATTCTGCCCTGGAGTGACAATGTATGAAAGCAGGACAGCAGAAAGAATCTTTCTGAATCGCTTAGTTGGTTAATTCTAACAAAGAAGACCACAATACCTGACCTTTTGCTGCAATATTGCTAGACTCACTCTAGGTAAGAAAAGGGTCAGTGTGTTGTGCAAATCTCAGGGTAAATGTGAATCACTGAGGGTACCCTAATATGAATTAAGTTACAGTCACTTATGCCTGTGCAAAGTCTGCAAGGCAATAATACGCTCAGAACTGCAGACTGAATGAGGCAGTTCTGATTGTTCTCAGGAAAATATACACTATTTGGCTGCAGCTGTCCATCTCAAGAGATAGGAATAAAGACTAAGTAGTAATTCAAGAGACAGCCTCTGTTGACACAGCATAAGCAGGAGTCTGAGTGTGCTATTCCTCCCTGTGTGAATCAGGTGAGGCTCAGGGAAGTGTCCACCTTCCCTCTGGCATGTTTATTATGTACATTAGAACAGATTCTCAAGAGCAGGAATAGCCATTGGGAGACAATTTTAAAAGTGCATATGTGGGCACATTTAAGACTGAAGTGATGAAGGCACACAGAACTCAAAGAATTCTTATTTTATCCAGTATGAGCAAAAAAAAGTTCTTGAACAAAAATAAGCCAGCCAAACCTGTGGCACAATCCTCAACTGGTAAAAAATTAGAACCCAGATGAAGAAATGACAGAATATGTAAAATTTAAAAATACAAAATGGGGAGTGGGTGTTACGTGTTATGTCTACAATGGTACATGCAACTTATTTTAATGTTTTCGCTATATGTAAATCAATTTATTTTATTTTTTAAGATAAGGAGTTGAACCTTTATAAAAAGCTCCTTCATTTGTACAAATGTATTTTAAACATCCTGATAATGTTGGAGGCTCTGCAGTTTCAAAATGACTGTCTGTTTGGACAAATACCCTGTAAAAGCACAATTAAAATCCTTAAATAAATACAAAATTTTATTGGTAAAAGCAGTAAACCAAATAGCTGCTTTAAAAATGCTTCTTCAAAAAAAAGCAATTATGTACAAAGGAATTTTGTATAAATAAAAACAAGAATCTCGGTATCAGTTATTATTTAAAATCTATTTAGTTCTATTTCTTATTTTTAAAAATTAGTTTTGGAATTATGGACTAAAATAATGGGAAATCGATAAATAAATATATTTACCTGAAGATTAATAAAAGGAAAAAAATTGCCTGTGATTAAAAAAAGTCACTAGTAAATACGAATATGTGCATTCTAGACAAAAATCTCTTAAAATGTTACTAAAAAAACTTCAAAGACAAATTGTATTTCATATGTTTATAAAAATTAAAAAGCTGGAGAAACACACATTAAAATCAGAAGAAAGGGCATTAATGGAAATTTTACAAATTTAACTTTAAAGTACACTGAATAAGTGAACAAAAGGGAAGAATAAAGAATTTTGTACTTCCAAGTCTCATTCTAGCTAAACATGGCCAGAACTATAGCAAAAAGGAGGTTTGTATATATGTTCAAGAAAGAAGGCGGGGCAGGGTTGAGAGAGAAGGCAGGTAAGGGGAAGAGAGGGAAGAGAAGGGGAGAAATTTGAGATCTTTCTGAAAAAAGTAGCTGCTTAACTTCAGCACTAAAATTTTTAGATCAGATCAGAGTTTCTCACCTTTGGCACCACTGGCATTTTGAACTAGGTAACTATTTGTGGTGGGGCACTGTCCTCTGCACTGTAGGATGTTTAGCATCACCCCTGGCCTCTAATGCACTAGATGCCAGCAGCACCCCATTCTCCCCGGTGTAACAACTAGTATCTTCAGACACTGCCAAATGTATCCCAAGGAGCAAAATCATCCCCATTTGACAACCAGTGGCACAGAACACAAAATCTCAAATTGATGCAAGCATATACAGGAGATTTTTTAAAATCTATACATTTTAAATAATTCTGATATAAACAATCTGCCCTGTCCTCAGGGTGAATGTACTCTTGGCTACACAGGCATTCTCCACAGCCATTGCTGAACTATTCACCAATAGCCGGGATTCTAGCAGGTCTAGAGCAAAGCAGAGCAAAGCCGTTTCTTTAACAAATGCAAACTGTCCTCTTATTACCCTCCCCACCGTGAGTCTACTCTACAGTCTGGCTGTTGTCTCCACCTCTTTTACTGAATTTCTTTGACATTTTCCACAACCACTTTTCAGTCATTACCCTGACTTCTCTGTAAATGTAATACTTTTAATCACAGTCTTTATGAAATTCTTCAATGATTTTAACTCTTCCCTTGTTTTATTTCTCTGACATATTTTAGGTTCATGCTCTTTGAAAATCGACCCATGAAAATAAAATTGGACAGAAAAAGAAAAACTTTATCCAATTTATTCCTGTATAAAAGCAAAATGTATTCAAATCTGGAAGAGTATAATAAAGGCATTTAAATAATAATAATGTGGTGCTAGAGAAGACTCAGAAAAATACAAGAAAATGACTACAGAACAAGTGAATCTCTAAAATATATATATAAAAAAAGAATTTTCAGAATGGTAGAAAGCAGTCTAAACATCTATTTCATCCGCCTATAAATTCAGACTAAAAAATAGATATAGAGGAAAGATCCATGCTGGTCTACTCGTATGTTTAAAGATCAGATTTTAGGACTTTATGGGCAAAGTCATGAAATGCAGTCATATTCCTCTTGATGCCACAGAAAAATAAGTTGAATCAATCACAGCAAAACACAGAAAGAGATGTTCTTATACCATTTTACTCCATTACAGAAAACTGTTGCTGTAGCTTTACTAATGCTTATATTTTATCTAAAAGACAATTTCCAAAACATTTGTATTTTTTTATAACTTACTTTAAACAAGGGACATTATCACGAAGCCCATCAGAAGAACTGCTACTGGTGGAGGGATGAGACTGGGGAGGAATGGGCTGAGGATTGGCGCCCCCCACTGGTGTTGGCAAAGGTGGTGCCTGTTCACCCTCTGGGGTCTCCACATCATTTATCTCATACAACAATCGAACTTCAAGCATCTGTCATAAAAGTAAGACAGCTTAACTACACCAGTATCTACTGTTTATTTTATTACAGTTTATACCCATATATGTACACTTTGGTGGAAAGAACATTTTTAAAGGTAAAAATTCAGCAAGATTTCTAAAGGTAAGGATTTAGCAAAGAAAAACGATGTTTCTGAGTCAGCTTTTTAAAAATAATGTGTACGTGTGTGAGTAGTCACACACACACGCATTATAATTTTAGAATTTATGACACTCCTATTAATACCAAATTAGAATACGCTCAGACTCATATTAGCTTTCTTCAAATAAAACTTACACGATGTATTTAAAGATTTAAATGTTCAGTAAGAAGACATACATAAAAATGTTATTTTTACAAAAAAAAGATGGCAATGTAAATACTGAGGTGTTTTTAAAAATTCTAGATAAAACTGACTGCAAATATTATCTTCTAAATAATATAAAAACTTTAAAATATCAGACATCTGACATTGAAAATAACTAATAGACTATTACCGGAATGACTTCTGTAATCACTTCTTGTTTGCTGAATCTATAAATAATGACATGAGCTGAAACTCCAGCAATGCACAGCATTCTACTTTCTGGACACCAGGAGATGATCTGAATGGCATACGGATCTTCATCTACAATGTCTGTGTTTGGCCTGTCATCTTTATTTCTTGACTTTTCAAAGACTTTAGCTGTCTTTAGTTTATATAATACTTGTAGAGTTACTAGAAAAAATACATGTTAGATAATTTAATACAAAATGAACAAATATAAGGTAATACTTAGTCATACTATGTAAGGAAATAGCCTATATTTATTTGAACCACATTTTATTCCTAGGTCTACATTTCTCTCTTACACTTTTAGATAATGCACTCACTGTACTCATTGGCCAAAATAAAGTACATTCATTATATTTATTTAAAAAAAAAAACAATCACCATCATCATGAATTTATAGAATCAAAAAGAGTAACAGTTTTGTAAAAAAGTATAAATTTAATAAAGAACATATTTTGCTTTCTAAAATGATTTTTTAATATTTTCTCTACAAAAGGCACCAGGATGAAATATAAAACATCCTGATTTGAATGGATTCTGAATGCTTTCTATGTATGTTTTGTAAATATTTGCCATTTAAAGAACTGGATTCTGAATGCTTTCTATGTATGTTTTGTAAATATTTGCCATTTAAAGAATTCTTTCCTTTTTGCTATTATATAACCACTATATATATATAATAGCAATATATATATTTCAAAAAGCAACACAAATTATATATATATTTCAAAATAGACAACACAAATTTTGTGACTTAATTTTAGAATAAATTTTAGCATATTTTAATATGTTTGTATTCTACAAATTTCTGTTGATTTGAAACATATTCCTTCGTCTCCTCTCTGATTTAGGAAAAGAAGGTTTAAAGAAATTTTGAAGGATTCGAGCACTTCTATTGAGAACTCTTCTTGATTTACTAATGAGTATACTGAAAAATATCTTTAATCTATTAAAAATGCTAAACACACATATTTGATATATAGCCTCCAAATTTCAAATTAAATTTTGATACAGGTTGTATAAAAGCAATGATTCTATAACATAGCAAATAATATCCAAAATACTTACTTGCAGAAGCATCCCAGAACTTAACTGACCCATCAGCATGCCTGTGAAAAGCAAATGAGTTAAGAATGTGATGAAAAAAAATTACATTTTTTTCCTTTTTAAATAGCAATTAAATATTGATAGTTAAAAAGGTAGTCACCAAAATGAGGAAAAAGATAAAATTTAGAATAAATTGGCATGTTCCAGGAAATAACTTATTTCTTATTATATCAGCATAAAGGAAAGCATTATCTGCCCCATTAACTTATGTTCATGTAGTCTTAATTATTAGCTAGTATTGATTTATTTGGTAGAAACTTCTACTTACCCTGTAATAATTATTTCTGGGTAACTCTGAGCACCCAAGCCCCAATTACCTCCATTGATGGGCCATTCCTATAAGAAGAGATTATTATATAAAGTAACTTCCAAGCAGGCCACACATCTTCACATACATGACAATAGTAAATAGGTTGATTATCAAAACTTTTCTAAAGATATTTTGTTTCCAAAAAGAATTTTCTATATATTTTCTCTAGAAAAGGTATCAATATTATCAAACATTCCAAGGTGATGAATATAAAATACTGATGTATTAATGTAACATTAAATACGAAAACTCATGTTCAATACCTTTTTGCTGTAACCTTGACGTTTCTGTCTAGCTCCAACAGAATAAAGTGCGGGAATAAGGTCCACAGGACAATCAGCAAAATATTCGCAACATGTAACAGGGGATTCGTGTATACTCAAAGGGTAGGGATTTTCAAATATAGGATATCTTTAAAAAACAGGAAAAGAAAAATATTTATTAGTTTAACAAATTATTACCTATGATTAATACATAAAAACAAATGTCTTAAAATATTTATAGCTTTGAAAAGAAAAAAATTTTCAAGCTTGATTACTTTAAAGTTAACACCCTTTGAAGATCCATGTAACATACTATCTAAATTCATATCTTAACTCTTAGGACAGTATGCTCTTCTCTATGAAATTTCAGAAATTACATACATTCCACCACAGAGATTCAACAGATTTAATTTATGCAAATATGTAAAAAAAAGACATCTTTATAATGACAGTTGCACAATTAGAATAGTAAACAGAAAAGCTGCAGTTGGAACTACATACCATGTTCTACGTGAGACAAATGCTTTATATATATTTATCTAATTTATTTCCTGCATTAAACTTATAATACAGGCATTTTACTGAAGAACAAAGACAGAGAGAGTAATGTGCTACAGGCATGCCAACTAGAAGCAGCAGAATTAAAACTGTGTTCTTAACCATTACGCTATAATGTTCTCGTTGAACAGATACCTAATCTTTATATCAGTTGAGCTAATACGAATTTTCAATTCTTTTTTTCTCCATCAGTGTAATGCCTAGTGCAATATTTAATCTAGAAATGCTCTGTTTTAGTGGTAATGTAAGTAAAATTCCATCTTAAATATTTTCTAGATATGAAATTATATTAAATAAAGCAAAAAATGCTTTTGAAAATCATAAAATTAATTAAAATCCTAACTAAATATACAATGATATTTCTTTTCTGGTTCTAAAGTTTTTAGAATTGAGAATGGTTACTTTAAAATATCTAGAAAACCAGAAACTAGCTAAAAAAAGTCTAAAAAGTTCAGAATGGCTAATCTGCAAAAATTAGATATCTTGATCATCCTACTATTGACAATAATTAAAAAGTTAAGGGAGAAAATATTCAGAGAAGTCCTTTCTACACTTCAAAATGACCCAACTGTCATCACTCCCTCCTCAATCACACATAAAAAAACAGATGACAAAACAAAAACAAAAACATGCATTTAAAAAATAGCAGACAACTTTTTTCTTTTTATAAACACAGTTTATAATTCTTAGCTCAATTATTCTACTAGCATTACACACTTAACTGATACATTTGCTAAATAAAACGCCTAGTCACAGGTACTTACACAGTATTTTCTTTAACTTAAATATATCTTAGTACAAAACACATGTGAAAAGTCTATTCGAAAACTTACCTAGGTAAAAAAATATATGATCGTATTAAGAATAAGTTATTCTATGACTGTTATTTAGAAATAACGTTTCAAAATTCTTTTGTTCCACAATGGTATTGTTATTTTCAAACAAAACAAAGCAAAACAAAACCAATTGATTATTACAAGTAGCACGTGCTAAGTTGATATGAATTTAAAAATGACTTGAAATAAGGGAAATATAATATTGCTCACTTATACTTCGGGTTTTCCTAATTGCAGTACTATGCACATTTTGGATCAGATAATTATTGTGGGGAACTGGCCTGTGGCACTGAGGATGTTTAGCAGCATCGCTGTTCGCTACCACTAGATGGCAGTAGCATTGCCTCCTCTCAATAAGTGTCTGCAGAGACAATGCCAAATATCTCCTGAAGGACGACATTGGCCCCCAATTGAGAAATGCTGAAATATTGAATGGGTAAACTCATATTTAATGATTATCTCTCAGGAGATACAAATAGATAATATAATGTTCTTCTATTCAAAGAATTTTTAAGTAAACATAGTATAAGTAAACATATCAGTAAACGTATCATCGATGTTAGAAAAAGCAGAACATGGCAAAAGCATAAAAAGTTACAAAGGAGTTACGGTGGAAATTTATATATGAGATATGATATATCTGGTTACGAGAGGATAGGAAAACCTAGAAGAGGAAAAGAAGGCTGACTTTGAAAGTTATATGGATTTTTTACAGCAGTGACGCAAGTGGAATGTTTCAGCTGCTGAGAACTATACAAGAAAGAACATGGAAGTGCGATGTTTGCTTTACACCCAACTCAGTTTTTCTAGGGAATAAGGCACCTGCAAGAAGACAAGCGAGAAAACAGGTTGGAAAGGTACCCTGAATTCCTACTGTGTAGAGTAGCAGGCTGAGAAAGTGTTTTTAAATTA